GTTTTCGGGAACTATGTCGGAGGTCCGCCAGCTGGGATGCGCCGTCGTACGACGAGATCTGCAGTCTGGGTTTGAAGGGTACTTCGAACAAGACTCGTCCCTAGGGATATCATTTGCTTTCGCCGGAAAAAAGAGTCCTCCGGCACAATTGATCCCTGCTGATTTCTCCTCTTCTTCCTGTTGATTTCGTCCAGCTCATCAAAAGGGTTTACGTCAGAAGAAGACGAAGATGAAGACGAAGAACCATGGTAACGTACAAATTAGGCTACCCTAACCCGAGGAGGCCGCACTATGTTCCACTGTTTGATCATAATAGAATCCTAACAAGTAACGTCTCCCCTAGGGATCAAACCCCTTAGAGATCCTTAAGCCGGGGATCTTATCTCGCCCATGCAGCGGCGACCGCTCAACCATCCGCAGCCTCCACAGGTAGACGCTCCACATCTTTTTACCACCACCCCTGAGCTCGGCAACCTCATCCTCCTCTTTCAGAGACGAACGATAGCGGAGTCAGGAAGATGGTGAGGATAGCCTCCCCCAGAGCCATCGACACCCCATGAGCCTCTCTTTCTCTCTCTCTTCTCTCTCTCTCTCTCTCTCTCTCTCTCTCTCTCTCTCTCTCTCTCTCTCTCTCTCTCTCTCTTTCTTTCTCTCCACGTGGATCCCATGTGGATGCCAAATCTCACGTGAAAACTACGGCTAACGAGAGAATTGAATGTGACACGGCTGTCACCATTAAATTAAGCCCGTTACGGAAGGCAACGTCATATGCTAAAAAAAACGAGTAATCACATATTATAAACCTGCATATACGAATACGCCAATGCATATATAGTAAGGAGAGGAAGAGAGGCCGAGTCGCATCCTTCTCGACATTGCTTGGCGGGCTTTCTCCTTGAAGAGCTAGACCTGCCTGTTTTTGGAACCTGATTATATCTGTGGAACCATGTGACCTCTGTAAAGAAATTGTAATAATCTTGTGAGACCTCCATCATCTACTAACTCTGCTAGATAATAAGTGACGATATTATTCCATTTATTATTTACTATTATTCCGAGATTTTGCACAAGAACTTGGCCTTCCTTTTGGGTCGTGGGTTGTTTGGAGAGGATAGCAGGTCTCTATAGCTCATCAAAGGGGTTGACTTCATTTCTTGTTATTCTCTCAAGAATGGATCAAGATAACAAAGGCTAATACTATTGAAAGCTATTTCAATCGCTGATACCAGAATGTCAACGCTTTTGGGCCCTCGTGATCATGACTTATCGCCAAAGCATCATACAATCTGAACCGAGAAAGGCAACACTGCCGGTCCGACTCATGTAGAAGCGTGTGATCTTTCTTGAGGTGGAGCTCGTGCGTACAAGTCAGTGGTGTCTCAAGTCCATTTCAAACCCACTTGCACCAAGGCAGAGGAACACTACAAACCCTACTCCGTGAGCTCCACCCACCTCTCCAGCATGGCACAGTCTTGGCCAGAACTCTTCAGGTGCAGCAGGGCGTTGCATGGCGCCTTACTGGCTGAGAATGTTGAGCGGAAGGACCCTGTGCTGGACCAGCCGCCGGAACGCGGCCTCCAGCTCGGCCTCAAGTCCCTGGAACCCCACCTGCAACCTGTGCAGCTGCCTCTGCGCCTCTTCCACCACCTCCAACCCTGAGCAGCATCAATGAGCAACCCGGTGCGTGGAGACTCCCACCAATGAGCAGCATCAAGTTCCCAAATCTAATTAAAAAAAGAGGAGGAATTCATTCCCGGAACAAGACTCTGCAGGCGAAGGCCTGGTATCATTAAAAATATGGCAGGGGTAGAAGTCCTTCAAAGGTTGAAGAGGGAGTTTTGTGTAAAATGGCTAACATTAGATTAGGACCGGGGCGATTTATATTGTCCACCATGAGACAAGCATCCAATTGTCTGCTCTCATATTTAATCAGATTATTACGTGTCGGAACGAACGGCAAGGGAGCCCGGGGGTCAACCATCTTCGTTTCTTCCTCTGCCTCCCGCCATCCGCCGGAGAGATGGTTTCTCGGGTGCCTCCGCTCTCGAGGTAATCTCCGGTGATCCGCCGGCCATCCACGTCTTCCCTTCTTCCCGAGCACGCCGCTCTCTCTCTTGGTGCAGCGAAGTCCGTCGTCACCTGGGAATGGCCGGAGAGGCGGGGGAGGTGGAGACGGAGGAATTGATGAGCACCCACCAGGCGAAGCAGCCTCACAGTTTCGGCGGAGTGGTAGCGAAATGGGTGGCGGGCATAGATAGGCGCTTCACGTTCATCCTCCTGGGCCCTCTATCCCTCCTCTACTTCCTCCTGCCGCTGCACTACCCCAGCGCCGCCCTCGTCGCCTCCCTCTCGCCTATCACCCCCTTCGTGAATCCCTTCTCCTCCTCCCCTCCGCCAGACCTCGGCCCAGGGCTCAAGAGGAAGGCGGAGCTGGACCGGGCCCGGATCGCGATCTGCCTCGTCGGCGGCGCGCGGCACTTCGAGCTCACGGGGCCGACGATCTTGAAGAACATACTGGAGGAGTACCCCAACGCGGACCTCTTCCTCCACAGCCCTCTGGACCGGGACGCCTTCAAGCTCTCGCTCCTCACGGCTGCCCCGCGGGTCGCCGCCGTCCGCATCTTTGTCCCCAAGAACATCCCCGAGACCGAGTCGCAAGTCCGGGTCCTCTCCTCCAGCGGGTCGCCCAACGGAATCCAGGTAGGTCGCCGGTAGAAGCGGATCTCGCATTGAACTCCCCACGACGGTGGCTTCTCCGAGGTTTTCAAGGCGGTTCTGTCCATGGGTTCTTCGCACGCAGGGGCTTCTGCAGTACTTCAATATGGTGGAGGGATGCCTCCCAATGATCAGGAATCAGGAGTCGAAGCGCAACTTCTCCTACGACTGGATCGTCCGCACCCGAGTGGACGGCTACTGGTCGGCGCCGCTCGGCCCGGGGAGCTTCGTTCCCGGAACCTACCTGGTCCCCGAGGGTTCCCGCTACGGCGGCCTCAACGACCGCTTCGGCTCCGGCGATGGCCGGACCTCCCGCGCCGCTCTTTCCCGGCTCTCCCTCATCCCCTCCCTCGACGCCGCCGGCTACAGAAGCCTCAACTCGGAGTCCGCCTTCAAGGCCCAGCTGCACATCGCCAGCGTCGCGTATCAGGAGCACCGCCTCCCGTTCTGCGTGCTGAGCGAACGCCGGTACGCCTTCCCGCCGGTGAACGGCGTGCTGGTGGCCTCCGTGGGGAGCCACGGGCCGATGAGCGGCGCCAAGTGCCGGCCGTGCCGGCCGGCGTGTGTGGGGCAGTGCGTAGCGGATGTGATGCAGACTCTGGGGACTGGGGGGACCTGGACGGAGTGGAGGAACGGGAGCTTGGAGCTGTGTAATGCTGCCGGCGGATGGGAAAATGGGTGGGAGGCCGTCTTCGACGAGGTCGCCGGAGAAGAGGCGGCGGCGACCAGGCGGCGAGTTGCTTCGCTCGACATGGCGACCTGCGTCGAGGGTTTTCGGGAACTATGTCGGAGGTCCGCCAGCTGGGATGCGCCGTCGTACGACGAGATCTGCAGTCTGGGTTTGAAGGGTACTTCGAACAAGACTCGTCCCTAGGGATATCATTTGCTTTCGCCGGAAAAAAGAGTCCTCCGGCACAATTGATCCCTGCTGATTTCTCCTCTTCTTCCTGTTGATTTCGTCCAGCTCATCAAAAGGGTTTACGTCAGAAGAAGACGAAGATGAAGACGAAGAACCATGGTAACGTACAAATTAGGCTACCCTAACCCGAGGAGGCCGCACTATGTTCCACTGTTTGATCATAATAGAATCCTAACAAGTAACGTCTCCCCTAGGGATCAAACCCCTTAGAGATCCTTAAGCCGGGGATCTTATCTCGCCCATGCAGCGGCGACCGCTCAACCATCCGCAGCCTCCACAGGTAGACGCTCCACATCTTTTTACCACCACCCCTGAGCTCGGCAACCTCATCCTCCTCTTTCAGAGACGAACGATAGCGGAGTCAGGAAGATGGTGAGGATAGCCTCCCCCAGAGCCATCGACACCCCATGAGCCTCTCTTTCTCTCTCTCTTCTCTCTCTCTCTCTCTCTCTCTCTCTCTCTCTCTCTCTCTCTCTCTCTCTCTCTCTCTCTCTTTCTTTCTCTCCACGTGGATCCCATGTGGATGCCAAATCTCACGTGAAAACTACGGCTAACGAGAGAATTGAATGTGACACGGCTGTCACCATTAAATTAAGCCCGTTACGGAAGGCAACGTCATATGCTAAAAAAAACGAGTAATCACATCTTATAAACCTGCATATACGAATACGCCAATGCATATATAGTAAGGAGAGGAAGAGAGGCCGAGTCGCATCCTTCTCGACATTGCTTGGCGGGCTTTCTCCTTGAAGAGCTAGACCTGCCTGTTTTTGGAACCTGATTATATCTGTAGAACCATGTGACCTCTGTAAAGAAATTGTAATAATCTTGTGAGACCTCCATCATCTACTAACTCTGCTAGATAATAAGTGACGATATTATTCCATTTATTATTTACTATTATTCCGAGATTTTGCACAAGAACTTGGCCTTCCTTTTGGGTCGTGGGTTGTTTGGAGAGGATAGCAGGTCTCTATAGCTCATCAAAGGGGTTGACTTCATTTCTTGTTATTCTCTCAAGAATGGATCAAGATAACAAAGGCTAATACTATTGAAAGCTATTTCAATCGCTGATACCAGAATGTCAACGCTTTTGGGCCCTCGTGATCATGACTTATCGCCAAAGCATCATACAATCTGAACCGAGAAAGGCAACACTGCCGGTCCGACTCATGTAGAAGCGTGTGATCTTTCTTGAGGTGGAGCTCGTGCGTACAAGTCAGTGGTGTCTCAAGTCCATTTCAAACCCACTTGCACAAAGGCAGAGGAACACCACAAACCCTACTCCGTGAGCTCCACCCACCTCTCCAGCATGGCACAGTCTTGGCCAGAACTCTTCAGGTGCAGCAGGGCGTTGCATGGCGCCTTACTGGCTGAGAATGTTGAGCAGAAGGACCCTGTGCTGGACCAGCCGCCGGAACGCGGCCTCCAGCCCGGCCTCAAGTCCCTGGAACCCCACCTCCAACCTGTGCAGCTGCCTCTGAGCCTCTTCCACCGCCTCCAACCCTGCGGTGTCGTCTTCACGGCGAGGCCTCCCGTCGAGGCCCAGCAACGAGACGTCCTCCGCCGTTCTCTTCTTCATCTTCTCCGGCAGCCACCCTCTCTTCTCTCCCGCCGGCGCCCGGCGCGGCCCTTGGGACATGACCGACGAGAGCGACCGGAAGACCGTAATGGCCGCCTCAGTCAGACCCTCCGCCGCCGCTGACCTTGGCGGACGAGCCGCCCGCTTCCGCTCCATCTGTTTCAGGATTCTCAAGCACCTGGCGCCTTCCTCGCGCGCCGCCCTCGTCGTGCGGAAGTAGGCGCGAACGGCACCGCCGCCGCCTCTCCTTGTGCGTAGCGCTGACCGGAGGTCCTGCGCTTGCTGTTTCACCGACGAGATCGCCTCCCTCGCGGCGGCGCAGACGTCCAGCAGCGTGACGGATGCGTCCAGCTCCCGGGTCACCCATCTCTCGCCGGCGAGGGCCCGCCGGGTCTCCGGAAGCCGGAGAAGCTCTCCCACAGAGCCATACATCTCCCCGAGCCTGTCAAGCGCGACCCTCACCTTCTCAGCCATGGCCACCGTCGTCTCAGAGGAGAGAGGTCGCCGCACAGCTCCTCCTTCAAACCGGAGGCCAGGTGGGATCGAACTGCGCAGCCACTGCTTCCCCCATTGAGGAGGATGAAGACGAAGAAGAAGATGATGATGATGATGATGAAGAAGAAGAAGAAGAAGAAGATCTCTCCCCTCCCTCCAGCTGCTGCTCCTAATACGGCCAGCGACTGGGCCTCCACTGGAGGGGATCACGGGACAGAAAGCAACAACGCTAGATGCCATAATGAAACCAAAAAGGTCAACGATGAGTTGTCTGATCCAAAGCGGAAAAGCCCGCGACAGCGATGCCGGCTCATGGGTTCGCACCCTCGCCCCAAAAAAGTCAAAATTAATAGCCTCCAAATCAGAAAGCGGAGTCAAAGGTCGGTTCGAATCTGGGCATTGGCCTACAAAAATCTTGCTGGGGGAGAAATATCAACGACGACAAAAAGTCAGAGAGACGACATCGCCCATCGTCCGTTGACAATAAGAAGAGTAGGGTGCCCGTTACATCGACAAGAGTCTGCCGTATCTTCACTCCGGACGAGTACGCGGCTTCCCTACCGCACAAAGGCAGAGAGTCTGGATCAAGCCACTGCCGGGGTCAAGTAATCTTCTAGCTGCGAACCAATGGGGATGAAGTCAGACTCTGACCTACATGTATGTACTTATTTATTTATTTAGTTATTTATTTACCAACATTTCAAGATATCGAGATCATGAGCAAACAAACCAAAAAAAAAACCCAAATTTGGAAAAAACAAATTGGAATAGTACGGCAGATTATCCAGATTTCTCGTGGGGGGGTTGGGAAAGCCATGATTATTTCTAGAAACGTCAGCAGACAGAAAGGAAATTCAAAAAAAAAAAATGGTGACTGCAGGTCGGAGGGGAGGAGCGCACCCTGTTTGTCGAAGAAGGAGCCAATCCCAGACGCTGTCAGACCCATTGCATAGGCGTCGAGGGAAAGCAAGTAACAAAGAACTCCAGCCTCCCAGAACAGCTGAGGATAATTCGACGGCACCGAACCAGGCACGCCACCACAGACCCTAACCATCATCATGGTGAAGCAGCTGTTCATGGCGACAGGCTGCGCCTCAGAAAACAAGATGGATGACCGGCACACGTGAATTTCAGATGAAAGAATGAATTCCTCGCAGCAGCAGCAGCAGCAGCAGCAGCAGAAGAAGAAGAAGAAGAAGAAGAAGAAAGGAGATGAATATGAAAGGAAGGAATCGAAATGGCCGACCTGATCGAAGGCAATCTCTGCTATCTTCTCCTCGAGATCCCCCAGCAGGAGCCTATAGAGGGGCAGGTCTCTCGACCACTCTCGCGAATGCTCCCACCGGAAGAAGGGGGAGCACGTGCGCTTCAGGGACTGGAGATTTTCTGCGTTTCTCACCAGGCAATAGAGACCACGGGCCAACTTCTTCACCCGGTTAACCGCGATGAAGACCTCGATCCTACTGTTCCAGCGGAAAACCCTGAAAGGGAAACTCCACCGCTTCTGCCACAGTGAGGCTTCCGGATGCCCAGATGGAAGACAGTGGTAGAGGAACTGGTAGAACGCCTCCGGATCCAGCTCGTGTCCTGGGTCCATCAAGAGACGGCTCCTAGGGCTCCTGCAGGCTTCCCTCACCGTCAAGTTCTCGTACCCGAGGAGCTCAGGAAACGATCTGCTCTGTAATAATCTGTTCGGCTCGATGAGAAGCTCCTGGTTACACGTCCAAAACCTCTCGATAGCTGCACTGGTTCTGTATATCTCGTGATAGATGATGTGGACTCCGCCGGCGAGTGGGGAAGGCTCCCCCGCCCAGGCGACGGAGCCGAAGTACCTGGAGATGGCGTCGCTCAAGCTTCTGTAGATGATCCGAAACTTTGGTGCCGCCGCAGGGAAGATGAGGACAGCGCAGACGGGGTTCTGTAGCTCGACGCTGGGGAAATTATCCCGCCTCTCCCGTCCGCGAAAGCATCCGGAGGTCCGGAAGGGCCTGAGCCCCATGAGAGTTTCCAGGTCCAGCCGACTCAGGCCGTCGAGCAGGCTGACGCCCCAGCCGAGGGCGGCGGCGGCAAAGGCGACGGCAGCGATGGCCTGGCCGACGTCGAGATGGCAGTAGCGGAAGGCACGGTCTCCGTGCCGCCACACCTCGCGCCAGTAGATGGTAGAAATCCCCACGATCATGGCCTTGGGCGGAAGTTCCTTGCAGAAGAAATCCCAATCGAGGAGAGCTCGCACCTCAAGGGCGTGGCCTTCGGGGGAGTAGTGGGCGGCAAATGGTTCTTCGAGGAGGTCCAGCACGGGAGGTGCGAAGACGTGGGCCACGGTGGGGTGGGAGCCGCCGGAGCTGTGGTTGACGCGGGGGAGGAATCCGGTGGCGCCGTCTCTCTCGCCCTCGGCGACGGCGAGGGAGTCGTAGAGGAACTGCGAGAGGGACTCCCGGCTGAGCGGCGCCCTGCGGATGGAGCGCGGATTCGAAGAGAAGACGAAGGAGTAGAGGGCCTCGCGTCGCCGGCACCTGGGCGGGAGCTCTCGGAAAGTCGTCGGAGGCGGAAGCCGGTAGACAGAGATAGGGTTGAGGTAATGCAGGAACTCCTTCGGGCGGTACCGCGAATCCGCTAAGGGGAGCTCGCCGGCGGCGGCGGCGGCGGCGCTCCAATTGTTGTGGAAGCGAGCGATGTGCCACCGTAGGGAATCGATTAGACGCGGTACCTTGGGCAAATCCGGGGGTATGTCGCGCCTCTCCGGGTTACTCTCCGGCAGATTCACCGGCACTTTCTTGGTCACGGTTGCGCGATTCTCCTCGGAAACCGGTTGCTCTTCCGGAGGGTAGGTCGGCGTGGGGGGCCTCACCTTGGCCATGACGGAGAGCAGCAGGAGGTCTGCTCCCTCCTTGGAAGCGGATCTTGATCCTCAACTGAAATCCAGAGGGCTCGATAGGTCCTCCAACGGCAGCGGCGGCGCCGCCTCCAATGGCTCGGTAGGTCCTCCAATGGCGCCCTTGTGAAGAAGAAAACGACCGCCTCCGGTCGGCCACCGCCGTACGCCGGCGGGAAGCCAGATCGACGCCCGCCGCTGCTCCTTTCATCCTCCTCTCCCCTTGTGGCGGGAAGACACCCAACTCAAACAACAGAGGAAAGAGATTACCGGAATCGGTCTGTTAACTCGCGGTGAGGATAAGTTGTACACCTGTGGATCTACCACTTTCCGGGTCCTTCTGTTGGGCCGGATTAGTATAATGGGCCGACCCAATATTTGGCATGACTGGGCCCATCTGGATTGGATCGTCTCTTAGGTCATTTTCATCCGGCCTTTTCCAGAACGTTCAGCAGGAATATCTGAAACAGAGAATCTCTGCCGCCATGGCGGACAAGAAGGATTGGACGTCGCAGCACCACGTGGAGAAGGGATAACAGCGGACCGAATCCTCGACCCAGGAGCCCCCACGCTGTCCGCCCCCTTCTTTCTTCTTCCTCTTTCCCCCTAAATAATTACCCTTCACAGTGCAGCGAAAAGGGGGGAAAAAAATCTCTGGCTTGATTTGATTACTCTGCTTTGGAGCTGTAATCCTTCTCTGTGAGTTGCAGACGGGTAGCAGCGGCGGCAAGGAGAAGGCATGGCTTCGACGAGCCACTCCATGGTGGCGCCTACAATCTACGGTCGGAGGATCCCCCGCGCCGACGCGGGGAAGGCGGCGGCGCTGCCGTCGCTGCCTTTCCTCCTCCGCCTCGGCGGCGGCGGCGGGGTGAGGAGACGGATGGCGGGGCAAATCCGGTGTCTGCTGCTCCCCTCTTCTTCTCCGCAGGAGAGGAAGAAAGAGGGCTCCTCCAAGCCACAGATCCCTCCCTCGGTCCAGAACGCCGCCATGGCCGCCATCCTGTTCTCCGCCGTATCCTCCTCCCCTGCCTTCGCCGTGGACGGCGGCGTTTCCCCTCCACCTCAACCATCCCTTGCCTCCCCGCCGGTGATCGAGGCCGAGGCAACGAAATCCGCCGCTAACCCTTTCTCACAGACCCTCCTCACCGCCCCCAAACCGCAGTCATCTGCCGCCGGCGAACTCCCGGAGGGCGCGCAGTGGCGCTACAGCGAGTTCCTCAACGCAGTGAAGAAGGGCAAGGTCGAGCGGGTTCGCTTCAGCAAGGACGGCGGCGTTCTCCAGCTCTCCGCCGTGGACGGCCGCCGCGCCACCGTCGTCGTCCCCAACGACCCAGATCTCATCGACATCCTCGCCATGAACGGGATCGACATCTCCGTCTCCGAGGGGGAAGCCGGCAATGGGCTCTTCAACGTCATCGGCAACCTCTTCTTCCCCGTCCTCGCCTTCGCGGGGCTCTTCTTGCTTTTCCGCCGAGCGCAGGGCGGCCCCGGCGGCGGCCCGGGGGGACTCGGCGGCGGCCCCATGGAATTCGGCCGATCCAAGTCCAAGTTCCAGGAGGTGCCGGAGACCGGCGTCACTTTCGCCGACGTCGCCGGCGCCGACCAGGCCAAGCTTGAGCTCCAGGAGGTGGTTGACTTTCTGAAGAACCCCGACAAGTACACCGCTCTGGGGGCGAAGATCCCCAAGGGCTGTCTCCTGGTGGGTCCTCCCGGAACTGGGAAGACGCTGCTGGCCCGTGCCGTCGCCGGCGAGGCAGGCGTCCCCTTCTTCTCCTGCGCCGCCTCCGAGTTCGTGGAGCTCTTCGTCGGTGTGGGAGCTTCCCGGGTCAGGGACCTCTTCGAGAAGGCCAAGTCCAAGGCCCCCTGCATCGTCTTCATCGACGAGATCGACGCCGTCGGAAGGCAGCGGGGAGCGGGGCTCGGCGGCGGGAACGACGAGAGGGAGCAGACCATCAACCAGCTTCTTACAGAGATGGATGGCTTCTCCGGGAACAGTGGAGTCATCGTCCTGGCGGCGACCAACCGGCCCGATGTTCTTGATTCCGCGCTTCTGAGGCCGGGTAGATTCGACCGGCAGGTCACCGTCGACAGGCCCGACGTCGCCGGCAGAGTCAAGATCCTTCAGGTTGGGCTTCTCTCTCTCTTCTCTCCTCTCCTTCGTCCCCTGCCACCTGGTTCTTCTCCACCATTGACTCCGCACTGCCTGCAGGTGCATTCCAGGGGGAAGGCACTGGGGAAGGACGTTGACTTTGAGAAGATCGCGAGGAGGACCCCCGGGTTCACCGGAGCCGACCTGCAGAACTTGATGAACGAGGCGGCTATCCTGGCCGCCAGGAGAGACCTCAAGGAGATCAGCAAGGACGAGATCTCCGACGCCCTGGAGAGGATCATCGCCGGGCCAGAGAAGAAGAACGCCGTCGTCTCAGAGGAGAAGAAGAAGCTGGTGGCCTACCACGGTAATAAAAGCTCCTCCCTTCCTGTATGCAGCTCCTGAAACCCTTCTCCTCTTCCTCAATTGAATCTCCTCGCCTGGTTTTGATCTGCAGAAGCCGGGCACGCTCTGGTCGGCGCTCTCATGCCGGAGTACGACCCCGTCGCCAAGATCTCCATCATCCCCCGCGGGCAGGCAGGCGGGTTGACCTTCTTCGCCCCGAGCGAGGAGCGGCTGGAATCCGGGCTCTACAGCCGGAGCTACCTGGAGAACCAGATGGCCGTGGCGCTCGGCGGAAGGTCAGAACTCGGAGGAGAATCCATTCTTGTCAGTTCTTCTCGAAAACCAGGGAGATCGATCTCAAGAAATCCATGCAATCCATGGCTTGCAGGGTGGCGGAGGAGGTGATCTTCGGGAACGAGAACGTCACCACGGGAGCTTCGAACGACTTCATGCAGGTCTCCAGGGTGGCGCGGCAGATGGTGGAGAGGTTCGGTTTCAGCAGGAAGATCGGTCAGATCGCCATCGGAGGCCCCGGTGGAAACCCCTTCCTTGGCCAGCAGGTACCTTCTTCTTCTTCTTCTCCGGCGCTGTCGTCTTCTCCGCCATTGCTGACTCTCCCGGCGCTGCAAATCGCCGCCGCAGATGTCGGCGCAGAAGGACTACTCCATGGCGACGGCGGACATCGTCGACGCGGAGGTCCGGGAGCTGGTGGAGACGGCCTACGCGCGGGCCAAGCACATCATCACCACCCACATCGACATCCTCCACAAGCTCGCCCAGCTCCTCATCGAGAAGGAGACCGTCGACGGTGAGGAATTCATGAGCCTCTTCATTGACGGAAAGGCGGAGCTCTACGTCGCATAGCGAGAAACTGAACTCTCTGCATATCCCCCCACATCTCGCCTGTAATCTACCTCCAAATCTTCCATGGTTCGAACCATAGCAGCAGATATTTTGATGTATAAATGTTTCTCAAGAAAGGTGGCTACTTTTATTGACCTTAGAACACGACTGTACGTGGGCTGACCTTGGCGAAGACGAATGAATAACAAATAAGTCAGATGGGCCATATACACGAAATGATCTCTACAAACCCACAGCCGGCGAACGCCCGCCGAGGATCAGGATTCCCCAACCCCCCCGGCAGGGAGCATCTGTACAGTGGAAGCTCGACTCCATTGCTCTCGAGCTCCCTGCCGGCGTGAGCTCAGGCTATGGCGGATCTCTCCCATGGCCTCTGGCCGCCCTCTCCTGCTCTGTCCGGGCGCAGATGAGAAGCCCATCGTAGATCCTGACGGAGGAGTCGGCGAGCCTTTCCATGGCGTCGAAGATCTGCCGCAGGTCCTCGTGGAGGCTGAGCGGCTTGAGGGCGTGGCCCTGATGCAGCATCTCGCCGTAAATATGGATCCCCCTCGGATTGGTGATGACGGACAGCTTCCTGTTTAGCGCCGCCACCGCCCCCTGAACCGCCTGCTCGTCCTTCTCCCAGGCTCTGAGCTTCCGCGCCTGGTCTTTACCCCCCGCCGCCGGCTGCTCGGCCTGCCGCCGCTGGTCCCAGAGTTGAAGCACGCTCGAGGCAAAGGCCTGCATCGCATCCACCACCTCCCTGTCGGAGGTGTTCTCCATGGCCTGCGACCACTGGTTGCAGACGACGAACACGGGCGGAGCTCCGAGCCTTCCTGGGGAGAAGGGGGCGACGCCGTCAGCGGTCACCTCCGGTTCATCGCGGATGATCCTCAAGAGCCAGGCGTTCAGCGCCGCCGCGAACTTCTTCTGGGTGTTGAACCAGGAGCAGAACCGTTCGATCCAGGCGAGGAGCTCAAGCTCGAGCTCCCTCGCCGCGCCGGGGTTACCGCCACCGGCGGCGGCGGCGGCGGCGTCCAAGCTTCTGGACTCGATGACGGCCTCCCACTGGCTCTTGTGGCACTCCATCAATGCCCTCCACATCCTCACGAAACTGCATCCAGCGGAGCAAGGCTCAGGAGTCAACGCTCAAGAGTATGAACAGAGGAGGATGGGAAGTATACCCTTGGATCAGTTCGTTGAGCTGCGGCCACAGTTCCTCGTCCCTCAGCGCGCTGACCTTTCTCGAGATGGAGTCAACGACTTGAATTGCCACCCCGATCCTCGTCGACAGCTTCTTCACCTTCGCCTGGGTGGCGTTGATCCTGTCGTCCTCCGCGCCCTTGTCGTCCAAGCGTTTCAGCAGCCTGGATTTCCGTTCAAGGAGCAATCTCATCTCTTCCTCAGCCTGCATGCACCAGGCGAAACCAGCATGAGCCAACAACGGGAGTGAACCTGCTACAGGAGATTGAGGAAGAAGATGGAGAGAGCCTCCTCAGCGTACCCTGACTTCCTCGTAGAGCTTCCTTTCCCAGATGTAAAGCTTCTGCAGTGTCGAGGAGAGGCTCACCGACTCCATCACCACCTCTTCGTTGCCCTCTGGTTCTCCGTTTCTAGCAGAGTTCCCCGAGGTCAGGGACATGGTGGGGACGATGGCGCTCATCACTCTCGAAGATACCCCTCCATACTTCTTCCGGTGGTATGGCCGCTTGTCCACCTCCAGCATCCCTGAGAGCGCATCGCAGGACTGAGAAGCTCTGAGAAACAGGACCTTTATCTCCCGCGCCACCTCGGAGGCAGCTCGAGACTGGGGGACCGGCTTCTTGCCGGCGACCTCCATTGGCAGTCCCTTCTGAGCTTCGTCCGCCGGAGTCGGCTCATCCTCTCTGTCGCCGCCGCTAGGGCCGGCCTGGTTGAGAGCTTTCTCCTCGACGGCGCTCTCAGCCCTGCGGGAAGATGGGATCTCCACCTGAGCAGATGAGGAAGCGGCGGCGATGTGTTTCTGATCGCCGTAAGCTTCCTTTATGACCTCGGTTTCCTCGTCCTCCAGATCAGGAATCCCCTCCTCCTCCCTCACATCCTTGGAGCTCCTGCTGGGCGTGTAGGCGTAGTAATTATTGTAGGATTCGAACGGGTTCAGAAAGTCCCAGCCCGACACCGTCGGCGGAGAGGGAGGCGGCGGCGGCTGAGCTGAAGAGGACGCGGCGGCGGAGGAAGGACCCGCAGCCGGCGGCGGCGGCGAGGAGCCACCGAAGAAGTTGCTACCCATCCCGCCATCAGTCGAGTAAGGCGGATAATAGTACGGATTGACGCCATAGTCGGAGCCCTGCGCAAGGTAAGGATTGCTGTCGAAGGAAGGTTCCCCTACCTTGACGACCTCGGGGCTCGCCGGCGGCGGCATCTCATAGGAAACGACCGGCCCCGCCGAGACCTTCTTCGCGTAGCTGACATAGGTTTTGGCCCCGCCGCCGCCGCCCGTGGGGGAAGAGTTTACAGAGTGGAGGGGGCCATCGTCATCGTCGTCGGAGAAATCTGAATCAGATGGGTCCAAGTGCAGGTGGGAGCCGGAGTTGGATCGGGAGAGATGGTGGCCGACGGCGGTGGCGGCTGGTGGCTGAGGAGCGGGAATAGGAGAGAGGGGGGGCATGGGATCCCCCTTCCTCTGGGTAGGGAGGGTGAGGATCGGAGAGGGATGAGAGAGAAAGTGCTGCTCGTCGAAGAATTTATGGAGGGATTCGCCGACGCGACGCAGAGACATGAGATACTCCGCGTGGGCGTCGGCGAGGCCGTACCGGAGCTGGATGGCCTCGGAGAGGAGGTTGAAGCGGTCCTTACACAGGGCCACGGCCTCATTGTCGTCGAGCTTGGAGCGGGCGCACCCCATGGCGGCGGCGGCGGCGGATCAGACAGAGGTGACGGTCACCGACGTCACGGCCACGGCGGCGACGAACCGACGGCGAATCACATCGAGGTGATGACGGAGGCCGCCGGCAATCAGGAGAAGGTGGCGCGATCTAGAGATCTAGGGTTGCAAAAGCAGGAGGACAGGAGCGACGAAGGGGATAAGAAGAGAGCGGATGAGACAGGAAACTCCTCCCCCTTTCTTTGTCCCCTTCCCTCTCCTTGTGCCCCTCACCGACTAACCTTTCTTCCTTTTTTATCTTTTCTTCCGGCCACCAGAGGCGGCGCCGCTTCTCCCCCACCGCGGAAGATCCACCCGACCCGAAGCTTCCCCGCACCGCCGGCCGCCGCCAATGACGAAGAAGAAGAAGTAAGCCTGAATACGACTTCCCGGCCTTCTCCACGCGACCCCTCGAATCCCGGAGCGGAGCTTTCGAGCCCTCCCGTTTACGTCGCTCAAGTAACCCGGCGATCGCCGCCACCCCGCCCCCGGGTTGACGCCGGTCTCCCCCTCCCCCGTCGTCTCAGACACGCTCTGCCCACCGCCACAAAGAGAGAGAGAGAGAGAGAGAGAGAGCTAGTGAGAGAGAGAAATGGGAGAGAGAGAGAGAGAGAGACGTCTGTCTCACCTTCGCCTGGTTTGACTCCGCACCAGTTGTTGTCTTATGTTTCTGGTCACCGGGCGGGTGTGTCACCGGAGATCTCCAACACCTCCCAGCGGGGCCCGCGTAAATTATGGAATCTCGCATGATTGAAGCGAGTGGGCTCAAAAGGCTTAAAAGAATATTGTCAGAGCGGCCCCCACGGTCCACATGCCTGCCACGTGGAGCCATGTCCGCAGCTGATTGGCTGCGCCAGAAAGCCAGGGGACCACAAAAGCCCTCTTGTTTAGTCATTCATTTCCCATTAAGACGATGATGATGTATGCAGGGGCCCCTGTCCCAGCGGCGTCGGTCAAACGCAGCCGCCGTGGCCACACACCCACGTCAGTAGGATGATATATCCTAAAAAAATAATACATAATGAGGATTTTTTTTAGCACCTGCCGCAGAGTCAATGAGAACATATACTTTACCACAATCACACGGATAATTTATTTATTTTAAAAATAATCAATGTAAACATTATGTTTCCACATTATTGATCAAATTATATCTAATCATGATCATTTATATTAGGGGAAATAAATAATTCAGAATTTCTTTTTCATGCCGTGCTAATAAATAATATAATATTCCTGTTTAAATCGGATCTCCCGCCGCCTTCCGTTTTCGAGACGCAATTTATCGAGTGAAAATCAAGCCATAAGTGTGTGATCTCCGGCGTTGACGACGTCAGGCCGACGTGGATGGGCACAAGATGACGAAGAGGTCGGCTCAGTGACGTGGTAGCGATCAAAAAGTCTACGTGTCGGGGCGTCGGCTCCAAAGGCGGTGGTTCACCTGCCGTCATCCGGAGGACCGACAAATGAATCGCCTACGTGGCAGCGTGCACTATCGAGGGATTAGGACGATTGTCGGCATCTCCTTCGCACGTGGCTTTTATACGTCGGAGATATGCTGGCGCCAGGTCTTCACAGCATGCGATATCGGATCTGGTTCGGCGCGTCGCCGATTTGGCGTTTTAAGAACAATAAACTATTCAATATTATAAAGTATTACAGAAACCCAATTAGACGGGAGAAAATAAATATATATAGATATATATATATTATGTAGGCTGTGAAAACAGTGTGGTTGTTGGGAGGCACAGCTTAAGACGCACGTGGCATAAGATTATTGGCACTAAAAATCATTATTCACATGTGGAGAGGCAGAAGATTGGTTCCATGTGTTTCAAGATATTTTCGAAAAATAAAATGTTAAAATATTTTTGTGGATTAAAAAAAATGATATAAGTATCACGTGAACTCAATTTCCATGCAATATATCTCTTTTTTATTAATATTGATTAACAAACGCAATAGAACGAGCCCGGTCGGATGTGGAAATTATCAGAAATGGGCACGTGGTTGACCATTTGAAGCTTGAGGCTTTGACACAAGGGTTCTCACAATGGTCAACTACTTGGATCATGCCAAGCGGTAGGACAAGATCCAAGTCCAGCTTTGGTCGGAATGTGCTTGGTTTAGGAAATTGCAGGAACCAAGCGACTTGGAGAAATGGGTTCGCGGTTAGGGAGCCAGACCTGGTGGGCTTCTTTATAAATTGGAACTGATTTCGAGGCTCGAGGGGGGTTGACTAGGCTCATAGTGTGCTTAGTCTATTGACACGTATGCTCGGAATGTCAACATTTCTAGATGGAAACATTGATATAAATTATTGGTCATCAATACAAGTATTTGTCCTAGCGGGTCCACTAAACTCCTCTGACCTACGGCGCGGCCCGAGTGGGGAATGTATCGGGCCTTCACCATTTTTCTTCCAATAGGTTAGTCAACGCTCATCAGGAGACCATTTGATCCCAGCTGAAGGATCCTAGACTTTGTATTCTTCTTCTTCCACAGAAGGTTCCAGCGAGGGAGAGAAAATTTGATAACTAGAAGAATTGGCTGTCCGACGTGAACTCCAAGTACTGCCTCCACCCTCTCTCTCTCTCTCTCTCTCTCGTGCGTCGGATAATCCATTGAGTTTTGACTTTTTAAAGTCAAATCTTGCGTAAATTAGGTCTTAGAAAGCTTACGAATTCATACACTCCGCCCCCTATAATATGTTGATTAGAAGAGCCAACCTAACTCGTAGCATTTAGTTGACTTGTAGGCTACAACTGGAACCAGTTGACACCGGTAGTCAAACAAGCTAATGGGTCCAAGTCACAATTATTTTATGTTCTAAACTGTTTACATACCGTTTTTTCTTTTCGCATGCTCTTCATCACTATTTCTAGAAAGTCCTTTCTACCTTTATACCCTGTTTTTTATTGATTTTGAATTTTTTATTTTTTATTTTTTGCAAAAGCATAAATGCCCATTAAGGGATATTGCGTAAGTGAGACTATAATATATGATATTAAATAGATCAATAAATATTCTGAACCGTTCAAAAAATATAGAAAATAAATCATCAGGTGAAATAGATATTTAAACCGTCGATTTGAGGCTTTTACTGAATAAATGCAGTTCATTGAACTCGGCTCTTCTCTCGTTTAAGGAGGATGGGGATCCATGCTTCTGGACGACTCGGCCCGGCTCGAGCGAGTTCAATGGACATTCCCATGCAGTGGATGCACCCGCGTCGGCTGTTCGCCGTTTCCGGACAACGTCGCCGGCGGTTATTATGTCAAGAGGCAACGGTGACCAGCGATGGTTGAGGTAGACGCACGCGACAACCGCCCTCGGGCCGCCGGCGGCGGCAATTGTCGTCACCATCAGTATTACTCTCCAATACTCTCTCTCTCGAAAAAAAATTTGGAGTCAACGGGGTGCCAAGTGGGTAGTCTGGCGGGGGCGACGGCGTGCGTATCCTCTCCGGCGGTGAACTCAGCCGACGAGGAGGTTTTCGGAGGCGCGTGTGGGTTGACCTTTTTTGTCCACGAAGATCCGAGTTCCTCTGCTCTTCGTTTCGTGAGAATGGAGTCAGTATGGCGTCGTGTCCTCTCCGGCGATGAATCTGCCCTTTCCCGGCGGGGTGTATGCTTGACTTTTGTTTTCTTTTCTCTGAACGAAGATCTTGAGATCCTCGGTTATTCGACGACGAGATGGAGAGCGGAACTTGGTTCGTCAATTCAATCGAAGTCAAGGATATTACAACGAAGAAAACGCAGAAATTCCTGCAGAATTCTTCGGTGGGTTATCTTTTCATTGTTCAGGGGGTCAAGATGTTGAGGACGGAGACCCTGGCGTTGATCAGTCTCCTGAAGGTCCTCTCGCTGGGGATCTCCAGCGCCGACAAGCATTCTCCCAGCTCCGCCAGCGCCGCCATGGCCGCCGTTGACCTCTTCCCCGCCGTCTCCTCCTCTGCGGCGACGCTATTCTTCGAGTAAGACGACATTGGCGGCACCCTTCTCCTCAGAGCAGCCCAGGAAGACGACTTGGAGCCCACCACTGCCGCCGCCAGCGAGACCGCCGCCGCCAGCGAGACCGCCGCCGCCGTCCCCCGGAAGACGGCCGCCGACACCGCCGCCGTCGCGGCGCTCACCTCCTTCAGAATCGCCGCCAGCTCCCCGTCGGGAGTCGAGGAGTGGGGCTCCTGCTCCCCCTTCCCGAGGGCCACCGGCGCCATCGCGGTGAGCTCCTTCTCGGCCTTCCTGAGGGACCTCCCGAGGGAGGCGAGCCTTTCGCCATCCCTCCGCCGGACGGCGGCCTGCGCCGCCGCCTGCAGCTCCTGCAGAGAGACGATGACCATGCGGAAGGACCCGTGGACGTCGGCGAATAGGAGCAGATCGCTGAGCAGCTTCTCGGCGACGGCAGAGGGGCCGCAGCGGCTGCGGCGGAGGGCCTCCTGCGTCTGCGGCAGCTGGAGGACCTCGTCGAGGGCGAGGAGGAGGAGCTCGAGGCGAAGGAGACCGGAGCAGAGCCAGGAGGAGGGGAGGGGCTCTGCGCCGGAGGAATGCCAGACACCAGCGGCGCGGAGCTCCTCCTCGACCTGTGCGACTGCCGGCTGTTCGGCGTGGCTGGGGAGACTGGTGGACCTCGCGGGAGGTGGCTTCGCCGGCTGAAGCGGGCACACTCTTCCGCCGCCGTCGGACTTTGGGTTCCGTCCGGGGAGGGAGATGGAGCGGCGGAATCTGGCGACCATCTTCTTCCTTCCACCTCTCTTCTCTCTTCTCTCTATCTCTCTGAGTCTTCTGCCCACGAAATCCCCGAAGGGCCGGCGAGGGGGGAGATTTATAGGGGAAGAAATGATGGCTGGCGGGTGGTGGAAGGTGCCGTGAGAGTGACACGTTTCAAACATCCCGCCGTTTTTCAGCTGTCCGGACCGTTAGGCCGCGGCATTCACCTGCCAGTATGCAGTGGATGAGCGTGGCCCCGCAGTTGCCGAAAGGGTAGGATGACAGCCGTGGGCGGCCCATTAAGCTGGACGGTGCTGGCTGCATCCAGCTGCCGTAATTACAACAGAACACGGCGGGCGATATCCTCACCGGAGAAACATCACAAGCATTCACCCCGATGAAATACGTACGGTTTCATATATAATAAATTATTTATCCCATTTTTTGGAGAGAAAAACCGGTTCAACAATAATAAAAAAATCATCCCATTTTGACCATAGTCGGTCTGGTGTGCCTGCGGAGGACCCGTGGCCAGAGGGGGTTCCCAACCCACAACCAAGTTTCCTACCGGACGGCCCGCTCATCCGCCGCCAAATTTGGAGCCGACCCTATTGCTTCTTCCTTCCTGGAGGGTCTCGTCGTTGCTCCGGCCTTCTTCTTCCACCAGTTTCTGTTCCCACGGGCGGGGCTTTGGGTGGGGAGGAGGCCACTGGGAGACTGGCTGGCGGTTTCTGATGACATCGATTGACGGCTGCCGCCCCTTACGAGATGCCCACCAGTGGCTTGGTGAGAGATGCATTACTCTCTTTCCCTGCCTTTCTGATCCGGGTATGCGCCTCTTCCATCTCGCGCTGTGCTGTTCTCTTTAAAAAATGGGTTGCTCTTTGAAGGTGATATTTTCTCACCGTGGCATTTTTGGGCGGCAGTGAGGAGATCTTCACTGGGCCTCATGGTGGCCCTGTTGTCCCTTCACGTGATCACCGTGGGATTTCTGTTTGCCTTCGACAGAGATTTGATTCGTAGTATCGGAAGGATGACTTGGTACACTTTATTCCTTCTATCATTGGGCTTCTCTTTTGTGGATCGTTCCTTTGTCTTGTTCCGGATGGATTAACTTATTGCCTTCTGGCATTATGACTTTTAGCATTATAACTGATGCGAAGATCCGATTTTTATTTTTTTCCCGTTATACTTACTGGTGCTTTGAAAATTTCAAAAATCCGTTGCTTGCAAGCGTGTTAAAGGGTTACTGATAAAAAGATAAGAAATGGATAAGGTTATGAAATTCTAATTCCAGGGATTTTCTAGGTTTGCTACTACCCAGTTAGTTCGCTTCCAAGCAAAGGCCCAATGCAATCAGGTTCTCTACTGATTGGGCCATATACGAGAGGGGAATCTTAGCCAACCGTGTCAAGGAGCCTTAGTTAAGCATGTTTGTTTTTTTTATAGGAATGAAAAGCGACGTTCTTACCATTCAATCTCTGATTTTTAACTAGTTTAGCTTGGAAAGTAAAGTGAATTTATTTAATATGAATCTAATTAATCTAAAACTGACAGCACCTATTCTCTTTGTATGAATTCTTTCATTCTCGGTTGGCAGTGTGACCCTTCCTTTGCAGGCCAGGCACTCTAATAGCGAGGTGTTTTCAGTACGTTATCCACCTAAATGAATTGCATATATGAGACAATACCTGATCCATGGGATAAGGTTTTATGACGACAGTGACACTATATAATATATATATATGTATATATATCTATATCTATATCTATATCTATAGCTACATATATAAGTTGAGAAGACACCTACAATGAAAGGCGCTGGGCTTTGTTTCTTGAGGACTCGGAACTATGCTTTTTATTACCCTTCTTTTGTGGTGTTTTATTCATCATACAAACAAGCGAATACAACCTACGACGAACACTTGATTTCCCCTTAGCTTATGAGTGACAAACACTAAATGAAAATGACGAATGGGAAATTAAAACTTTATGATCAGTCTGAAAGAGAAAATTCTGCAAATTATCTATGCTATGCACCCTGAACCACCAGCTTGTTGTTGAACTATGTTTTTCCTAACCTGGCCCCTTCTTTTGAGTGAACTCCTTCGACAGATTAACTTATATCTAGTTTCTTGCAATTGCATCATCTAAAATCCATGTTTCTGAAGATTTACCTTATTTAGATCCATTAATGTTGTTGATAATATTGCAGACAAGAGAGTTTGACGTTTTTTTTAATCTTTTTCCTGCCATTTATTTCATTGTCCTCCCATTGGAATAAAAAAACGCTCGGTAGGATGTCATACTTATTTTATGCGCTCAACTCATATCCCTCAATGTTTTTTTAGGATTCGAATTTCTCCCCATATTCACCTCCTTTTCTTTGAAGACATCATGATTTGGAGATTATACTCTATTTTTCACGTAAATAATAATTTCAGTTCTTTAAGTAGGAGCGACTCTTTTAAAATTTCTTATAGCATCGCATCCTATTCCTGTCCTGTTTCTTATTTTAAAACGTATATGATTAGATTGTCCGTTTTCCTGGACTTTGGAGCAGGGAATCTTGCCTATTAATATGTTTCTCATCCATTATCAAGTGCCCTCATTGATTCTTGTGGATGGAGATCCTCTTGGTTCTTTAGGTATCTCTCAGTGTTCCATCTGCATCCTTCAGGAACCCCGGACGGGTAAAATGTTTCCCCATACAGATACTTTGTCTTGGATGATCTTCCCCTCGCAAACATAAAACATGAAAAAGCCATTCAGGGTGCATTTTTGGAACTATGCATGAGCGAGTTGTCAAGTGGACGTGCATTGAAATTTATGAAGACTAGACTCTAGGGTATTGTGTTCAACTTTTTAAGGAACTCACGGTAGGATCTCGTATGGGTAGAAATGCTATGATGCTGAAGTATGCATGCAGTTGTATATGAATAAGAAATAAGTGCCTCTGGTATCCTGATTCTTGCTTATCAAAATTCGCTGTTTCTGCCATGGGTTCTTGTTGATACTTTACGCCTGTGTCTCTATCCCACTAATGATAGATGGAAAATGATTTGATTGAACTTTCTCATACTTGATTGAGATCTTTGATCGTGTAAACCTTCCACGAGATCAGCTTCTGATCATAGAAAGGGCTGGAAGCGGAACAAAAATCGTTATTCTAGGTTACCGGTTATCTGAACATCTGTGATGGTCATATTTGTTGAAAAGCATGAACAATGATTGTAACTTCCATGTGAGATTATTAAATTGGAAATAGTTTGCAAATGGCCAAATTAGGTACATGCATTTTGAATTTATTAATGAATCTGTGCTTGTAGTTTTGATACTTTTCTATAATACTGAACCTGGTAAGAATTGTACCAGATGAGGCGGATTGTCTATGAACATTCACATGGATGCTTCATTAAAGCATTTGACTTTTTCGCTTTGTAGCCACAATGTACACTTGTAGTACATTGATTCACATCCTTGTTGGTGTCTGTGAGAGCGGATAGTGACCTCATACATTATGTTTTCTTTAATAGTGAACTAATCGAGCTTTTTTCATTGCAGCCAGAAGAATTGCCCAAAGCTTATTAGAGTTGACTAATTATTTTTTGATGAAACCATTTTATCATTTCTACATTTGTCATTCTTTTGTTTGTTTGCTTATCGGTGCACTTTCAAATCTTATTTTTCCTTCACTAATTTTTCAGGTACAGTGTTTTGTACCTGGTGCTGTTTGTAGTGGTGTTGATTCAATATTTCTTTACCTCCGGCTCCTCGCCAGGGTAACCTCTATCCTTCAACTAGAAACTTTAGTTTTGGCATATTTTTTCCGTGTTTCATGAATTCTGCCTTTTGTAATTTTTCTCCATTTTTATGCCACATTTATTTTAATTGTTCTAGATCAACTTGTTGACATATATAGCTATCATAATCACGTTATTGTCCTCTGGATTTTTTTGTCTGATTGGCTCGTTTGACGAATTTGTTATTTCTCACCTAGGTACGTGATTGATGAAATGAACGCCGGAAATGAACCACATGCTACATTTTCAACATCCAGGACCTCAATGTAATTTCCCTGTTTGGTTATCAGAAGTGGAAAAGCTTTTGGTTTGCTGCCAGTTCTTAATTTTGCAGTAGTATTGAATAGTGGTAATGTTAGTTACTGTCCCATTCATTTTTTTTCTGATGATCAAGCAAAGGCAATCAGCTGCGAGAAGAAATGACAGCCCAATTTCTCCGTTAGAGTCCTATCATTTGAGAAAAAACATCACTCGAATGAATTCTGCTGCTTGGACAAAATTGGTGACAGAACTTTATCCATCGTGGCTGACAAGCAGGTACTTGTAAAAATTCTTCTATAATCCCTGGACAATAGTCTTTGACCATGAATACACGACTTCTTAAATGAAACGTAGTAATTCGTTCTAATCTCGTGCAATATTCTGCTGTGTTTGTCTGAATTGAACGTTTCTGTCATCCGAGCTTGCTGGGTTTGAACAGTTCACTCTATTTTTACTGATTATTTGTCAAGTTCTTGTTGATTGACTTCCATTGCTTCTCTTAACCTTACTTATGTCTGACATTCCAGAAATTACCTTTTTCTCCTCCCCCCATAATACCTATTTATAGGGGGAAGAAGAAGAGCTGGCCAAGTAGACCACGGTTTCCTAAATCTTACACATCATCATCGCTGCCAAAACTATCCGTTGCTTGTTTATCTAGGATATCTTTAGTTTTCTCTGAATTAAGATCTACATAACTCCGCTCCCTTTCGAATCTTGCTATGACCGCAGTTTAAGAGGATTGTGAAGCAATGACAATGTGTGCTGCGGTATGAAAATGGATCCGGATACCCTATAAATATCCATCACTGTGGATACATATTTTGTATGAGAGTGTGTGAAAAAGATGGCCTTCGGTTTTTGGGAGTTGGGTGTCTAGATGAGTTCAACGTGGGAGACTGGCAACACATATTTCTGCATGATCATGCTCAGCAAATAAATGACTTGCGTACCAGCTGCTCTTTAGAGATATATGCGCACTACTTTTAACTGAAAAATATCATTTTTTCATTTAAGTTTCATCTAGTAACTTCTTAAAAACTCATTTGGTCACATTCATTGAATTTTTTTTGTCGAATCAAACTTATAAAGTTAGGTCAGATCAATCCTTTTTGTCGGTTTTTTTTTAATTATTTACGTTTTCTCAGAAATCTCCAATTTTTTTGAGAATCTCTTTCAAGCCTTAAGAAGTATGTTTCGTGATGATACCACTAAACCATTTAAAAAGATAACAGCAAAAACATTCCATCTATGATTTTGTATAATTCGGTTGGAACCACTTTCTCCTGATTACTTCCTAGTGATAGATCACTAATATGGGTTCATCAGTAGGCTTGAAGTAAAATAACCGGAGAGGAAGGAGATTTTCTGTGGATTTTTAAGGGTTTAGTGCCTTGGAACCGATTTCTTAAGTTTCTGAAGGAAGAAATTTAACGTAAAGTTACGTTTCTATGTTAAAACCACGTCCCTATTACTATTTCCTATACCAGGCAATTTGACCATATTTCCTCTGCGTTGGTTATTTTGTCCCTTATACATTTTCGAGGACTGTGTCCATATATCATAACATCCATTTGATTTCTTTGTCGTCCATTTCTGAAATAGAATTATGCGCATAATTTTTCCTTTCTGAATGGCAGGAATTGGACTTGCGCACATTGCAACATTGTTCAGGTAATACTTGACCTAACTGTTTTACTTTTTTTTTTTATCTTATGCGTTCGATTCCACCAATTGCAAGCTTACAATGTGAATAAACTAATTAAAATAGTCGATAGGATACGGACATTGAAAACTTATCTGTGCTTGTGCATGGTTTATCTATGTACTTTTTTCTTTTGATGATTCCAATTTTGTTTTTCTCATGAACTGCTCCCAATTCTCCCTTTTTCTCTCTCCCTCTCTTTCGCTCTCTCGGACACATACATAAACACAAGCACGCAGAAAATTAATCTGTTCATAAAGAGATGTTTAACTTGGTTTTGCTATATCAGACGAAAATAATTCCTTTCAAACATCTATCTATCCCTATTAGTTAATGATTCTATTACTGAGAAGGCATGCAGCAAGAATGTTGTACATCAACTCTAACGAGAAATAGAAGTGAATAATCCTCTCTTTCCCGATTAAATCCTCTGCTTTGGTTATTGCTTTTCGTTTGGTAATACAATGTTAGATTTTTCATCTTCATTTAAATGAATTTATTGAGTGAGTTCTCTTTTATACCTTGCTAAAGAAAGAGAGCTTTACAAGTAGTTTCTCCCCCAGATGTCTGGGCTGCCCTTAACTTTCTGGCATAGAACCAAGAATGCTGCCTTGAATGAGACAAATGTGACTATGAGCTAATGAGGTAGGGCGACATGATTTATTCGTTTTTCTACAAGCGGTGGTTTTTCATTTATGTTTTTCCTGGGACATTTTCTGTGATCCACCTTATTCACGATCAACATTAGAGTTATAAGCAAAAAGACCTGTAAATTCAATTGCAGTCAAAATTTACTTTCATTTTTAGGTTTGAGAAGGTGACTGAAGCAGTAAGTTATTGCCTTGTGTGTAGATGAAAAGGGGATTCCTGATGTAAGTATATTATACATAGTTTTTTATACTATAGTAAATATATAATTTTAAATAGGATACATAGATTACATTTTTGAATGCTATAATACATTAAATATAAAATTAAAAAGATACAGAAGATAGATTAATTTTTAAAACTATAATAAATAACATATATTAATAAAAAAGATATGTAAGATATATTAAAATCATAAAAATGACATATTATTTGATTTTTGAATATTAGACTGTTTGCATTTTAATGAAATTATAAAAAAATCACATTTAAATAATATACACAAATTATCAAAATCCAAATAGTTATTCATTCTTTCATAAATAAATTAAATCTAATTACTACTTGATGAAGCTTGTTCCAATCATCATGAAAGACAAACATGCATCGTAGAGGACAATGGGATAATATGATGAGGAGACTAGGTAATGCCATTCATAAATATGTTATACATACATTTAAATACTAGAAGTAATTATTACAAATTATTTCTACACAATTGCAGCAGATGTATACTGTAGTTTAGGATCATAAAATCGAATATTTTAGTAACTATTACTTGTTTAATGGAATGATAAACTTAATAAAATAGGGGTAATGCATATAAATAAGTTCTGGACATATGAAACACTTTCATTATTTTAAATATTAAAAAGATATTTTTAAGTTGATTTAACGCATAATGCATGTGTTTTTTATTTCTTGTTCAATTTATGAGAATGCACGGTGTTTGATTGTGTTCACTAAAGATGTGATGAAGTGTTACAATTCCTTTGTGTAGGTTATGTGAACATGTGCCTTATTGCCCTTGCTCACCAATGTGACGCTTTAGTCCATGTGAATAGCCGTCACATTCTGGCCTCTACATAAAGGCATTTTTCTTTCTCAAAGTGATGTATATGTTTTAGGCATGAGACGTACACATCACATTGACATACACATCCTTGCCTTTTTTTGTTGCAAATCTCTGTTTTTGATGTCTGAATGTGGCCATTGTGGTGTTTCTTTGAAAGCCAAGTAAAACATGTTAGGAGCGATTCACTGAGAAAAATGCAAAAGATATTCCACAAAGAAACCATGCCTGAAACATGCACATTACTTTGAGAAAGAAAACCATCCTGATACAAAGGTTGATGTTCGTCCTATGACATCAATTATTTGTCAGTTGCAATTTTTAGGATATTTTTTGTATTTTTTGGTTTGATGATGGCCTTCCACGTATCAATTAGATGCAACATGATGTGTTTGTACTGTATCATTAATTTATCGTCTCACTTACCCAGTCTATTTTGGTTGTATCATCTCTCTTAATGACTGTGTATAACATTAATGTGTTTTACTCATAAATTTCCCTTAAAAAAGATCTCAATTAGCCCTTGGCTTCTGTTGCAAAGTTATCTTTTCAATTTTTTATTTGAGCCAATCCCTTTGTTGATTAAAGCCTATATCTGATGAGATTGGTGGTAATTGGATTATAGTTCGTCAGACATGAATACTTAATCATCTTATGATGCTTTGAAGCTCCATTTGTTTGTTATTCTATTCTATAATGCGTGTTTCTCATTCAGGTGATGCTTATTTGTCGCTTTACCTTTAATGTTCAACTTGGAAGTTTCAACGGGTAATTTATTAATTATACTTCTCTTAGTTCATTTCTGGGGTCTTAACATCTTCTTACACTTTTCAGCCTCCGCGCTCAAAGCATTGCCATGATTGTAACAAGTGTGTTCTTCAATTTGATCATCATTGCTTGTGGCTGGGAACCTGCGTTGGTCTAAGGAATCATTGCCGTTTCTGGTAAGTTCAATTTATTCACATTCTCATCCATAATTTTGCTCAGAAGCTAAACTGTGACCTGGTTTTTTTTTTTTCTTTTTCTTTTTCTTTAGATGGATAGTGACTTGTTTTCGTATGTTCACGTTCACATCTGGCCAATACAGTGTTTTTATCCTAAAGGCCAATTCAATATTTCCCTTTTTTTATTTTTTTTAATATGGGTACCCCCTAGATATTGGTCTAGATGTCTAAGAGAACTTGGTTGGGGATGTTACTGTCATGAAAGAAGTTGAGACAAGAGCTTTGACGCTTTCTTGATGGTGGATTTATAAAACTGGAGAAGCTTGGCATTTTTTATCAAGCTGCAGTCGAAGTCAGATAAATAGTTCTGAGAAAATTTGCTTAAAACAGGCAAATTTTTTTTATTTTTTTTCTGTTCAACTGTTTTCAATCATTGTCAAGGGCTGCACTTTCATTACATCAATGAAGATTATCTCAAGAATCAGAGACAGCATATCCAGAGATGAGATTGTGAACAATAAAGTCGATTATTTTACATTAGAAAGATGCTGTATCATGGGGAATTTGAATTGGTGTGCCATTGGCGCAGATTCCACTACAATGGCAATGGCTGGTCATGAGATGATGTATTGAATCACAGATTTGCCTCCATACGCTCATCTTCTTTGCAGTGTTGCTTGGCCTTTTCTTACTTTATGACAGAATTTTTTTGCTACATATCCCATCTTGATTCCTGAAGCATTACACAGCATTACTGAGCATGTGGGCATCATGATCTTCAAGTTCTGTCTTGAAACAGAATAATTTCGGTTCTTGCACATGAAAAACATCACGTTTTCCTGTAAACCTACGATCCTTGTAACAGGGATTATATCGCATTACGTTCAGATCATTTAACCTGAAAGTGGTGTTGTAGGTGGTATCTTTTTGAAGAGACCTTGCTGTGCATGTGGACGATTATCTTGTACTACTTCTTTCTGAGGTCGAAATTCGACAAGGCATGGTATGGATTGATGTGATCTAATGTGATTTCATTGGGTCATAGAACCATGCCTTTTTTAGTAAAATAATAATAATAAAAAAGCCCAGATTTATTGTTGGTATCTCATGTAATCTGCTTGATCCCTTGCGAAATTTGTGTGATCAGGTGGAAGGAGGGGTTTGCTATTATCTTCCTCGCAGTCTTGATCATCTGCCTTATTTTCCTCCTGCTGCTGCTGGTATTTCACAGGTGAAGATCTTCTCTGACCTCAAACACCATACTAAACGGAGTGGTCGATGCAGATGATGATTAGAGTGGGCCAGCTTTGGTGATTAGTTATCCTTAAGAAATTATTACCGGATTTATTAGAGTGTGAAAATTTCTTGATTATCTATTCTGGGAAGAGGTGGCATGTCGGGGAGGTCTCTACTGAGATGGTTTGACCCAGTAAGAAGAGCGCGTAGGATCCATTTCTAGTCTTAGATCACTCTCAGAGGGGATATGTTTCTGCTTCATTTCTCTGGAGGGTGATTCATCATCTCTCTTTCCCATGCAGCTACCTCGTAATGACCAATCAGACCACGTATGAGCTTGTGAGACGGCGAAGAATACCATATCTTGAGTAAGACAATACCAAGCTCTCTTCCCTCTCTCTCTCTCTCTCTCTCTCTCGCTATTGCCGGCCACAGTGGCTTCATGTGTTCTTACTGCGGCTTCCAGGAGAGTCCCTGAGAGCGTGCATCCATTCAGCAAAGGGCTGTGGGGGAATCTGGTTTCCTTCTGCTTCCCCTGTGACAGGACGGGCCCCCTGGAACGGGTCCCCACAGAGGAGGAGCTGCAAGCGAAGGCGAGGCCCTACGCGTGCGTTGACTTCCTCCATGGTCGGTGCTGCTGCTGATGCCCGTTTCAGAGGCCACCCCATTCCTAGATTAAAGGCCATTCTTTTAGCCTTATGATTTATGTTCACGTATGTAGATAACAACCTTGTCACATTTTTCTAATCAATCCTAAGTTTCTTCCTTGAATACTGGACGGCTTTGACCTTCTCCACATGCAGTCTTTTTGCTGACTTTGTCACGCTCCGAGGAACAAGGTAGGTGCATGGATGGGTAGTTGACTTCGGGCCATTGGAACAAGGGCCAGCCTTTGACCTGATTCTAGTCTGCGATGCTCCTTATTTCCAAAGACTCAACTTCTTTAATTCCGGGTCAATGAAAATGATCAGAGCAGATTATTCAAACCTCTGACACCAAATTACTGTCTCCGAGTCAACGTATTTTGTGGGCTTTTAGTAAGGGCTGGGTTGAACTTGTTGCGAGTCAAAGTTGCCCAAATAAAACCTTGGAACGAATGCCTCGTTGACTAAGAGCATAGAAAAACCAACCCAAGGAAAGAAAAAGGTAATAAAACGTTTCATTATTTAATCAATTAAAGAAATCAAACATATACACACGTTAGGTCAAACCTTCAAAGATATCCCTTGACAACAGCGTTGACCAATCCTTGCAACAGAGATAAGAATTACTCGTCATTTATTTAAAACGCAACAATGCAAAGGAAATCAATAGATATATTTGGTCTTAAGCAGATGATTAATATCGTTTTTTAAGGCCTCGATGTTGCTCATAATCTAAGATAACTACCGAAGAGGGCTAAATACTAGAAAAATATGAAGCCGGGACGTTGACTTAACAGGTCTGCCAGTATTTCCCTATTATCAAATAAACGAGTTGTCAACATGGTCAAATTTAGAGTCAAACACCACGCCCCAAGTCAAACTAGACTTGTTTTCGCACTAAGTAAAATTTTGATATTTAAATTCAAAGCTATATGAGGAAACACAGGTCTAATATCTTTATTAATTTATGATTATGGAAATTTAATAATTTTTGTCAAGCTGAAGGGTTTTGACGAATTTCGTCTAGTGGGAAATCATTTTTTTAATATTTTAATATATTTTCTTTTCCGGTGGCCGCCATTCCCCTTTCCAAGTCTCCTCTCTCTCCCTCTTCCCCCTCCTGAATTCCCCGCCACTCTTCGCCGGAGGGGAGAAGCTTCCGATGGAATAATCATCATCCAGATCGCGCGCTACCTTCCCGACCGCTCCTTCCCCACGCCCTCGAAGAAGCGGGGGAAGGATCGGGGGGGCGAGGAAGAAGGATTTGGGTGGTGGGACAGAGAGAGAGATACAGACGGGGGTGGAGAAATGATTACGCGTTCGAATCTGGCGGAGCAGCTGAGGGAGTACCAGATTCGATCGAAGAACGATTGGGCTTCCTTCTCCTTCTTCTCCTCCACTGCCAACATCCCGTCGAGGTAATTTTCCGCCTCGTTGATCCCGTCGTTTTTGCCTGTCGTCGTCGTTGTTGCTCTTCTTCTTCTCCATCGCTGAATCGTGTTCAGAATCTGAGGGCTTCACCCGCATGAGTCGCCAAGGGTCCATTCTTCTAATCATGGGCTGGTGAGGGTTCCTCGAGATCCCCTGAACCAGCTTCGTCTTCTACCTCTGGCGCGCCAGGACTTTCTGAAGTGCGAGAATATTACTGCCAGGAACCTACGCACTTTTTCTGTTGCTAATCTTGTCCTCGTTCGCCAAGAGAATTTGTTTAAATCGATGAAACAGCTTCGATATGTCTTGTGATCTTGATTGGCTGCTACTGCGGGGATTTCCATTTGCACGGAGATCTCCGAGAAGAGATAGATTGGTGAATCTCCCGAGATCTAGCGATCTATAACACTAGACTATAGTGCCTTAGTTGGCTGGCAGATGAAGATACTTCGGGCTTCGGGCTAATTGAGATCCGTTCTGGTGTCTCCATCACCGGTGCTCATTTCTGTGGTCTCCTCCCTATCCTCGTGAACGGCACAGTTGCGGAAATAATTGAGTTCTATGAGGATGGACATAAGATCTCTCGGATTTTGTGGTAAAAAGGGAAGACTATGGATGGAGATTGATGAAATCGGGAAGAATCATTAATAGGTTTGAGGTGCAAGAAGAAAGAGACGAAGATGAATAATCACCCACTAGAGTTTAATTTTGTTTAATTTTCATTTTTTTCCATTAAACTGAGAAATTTACAAAACGTTGTTGATGATCTTGATGATCCTCAGGGTTGTTTCATGGCACTTCCCCTGTGGTGGTTTAGGGTTTTTCTTTAATGATAAGATTGCATGTTGCTGAACTAAATCGATAAATTTTTCTTTAATGAGACCAAGCCACTCATGTGGGGTTCCATTGCCATCCTCTCCTTCTCCATTACCCTCCGGATGTCAACATGCTGGTTGAACCAGTATGATAGTCAAGGTTGTTGTTGGTCCTTCATAAGACGAAGCTCTGGATTCTTTCTTCATTTGGGCATCGTCCCAATTCGGTGGGAGGATGAGATGTAATCTTCTCTGTCTCGTCCTAATTTCTCTGGATATTGGCGAAAAAAACAGGATTTATAATTCGGCAACTCTCCCACATTTTTTGGACTCCACAGGGTTATTTTCTTGAACAGAATTTCTCCTCCCTATGGAGGAACAACGGATAGATTACTACCCAGTGAGGAAATAACTCACTAACGGAGCTGGTTCGGCTTCTTTTGATCGCAGGGCGGATGTCGTCATCTCGGTGCTGCTGGAGCTCTGGATCTTCGCCCTGCTGATCTTCTCGGGGATCTCTCTGTACCTGAGGTACATGAGGGTGGCCTTCTTGCTGATATGTGCGGCGACCCTCTTGTTTGTGTTTATGAGAGTGGTGAAGCGGGTGAGGCAGAACAGGAAGAGCAAGCGGAGGATGCTCTTGCCCCTGTCGATGTAGCCAGTCTCCTGCAAATAGTTTTGAGTTTATTTTATTTTTTAATTTTATTATTCTCCTCTTGATTCCTTTCCTGTCCGGGCATCTGGGTCGGAGAGCGAAGAGGGTCTCAGAACTGGGTCGGTGATCTTCCCAGGGCCAATCGCCAGCCTTCCATGATCGGAGCTCAGAAGGCCAATAAAGATTAGATCTTTATGGTGAAGGGATGAGGTGAGCTCCGTCGGTCTTATCGTGGGTCTGCAATGTTGAATGGCCGAAGACTACTGAAAAGTCAAGAGAAACGAAGCCCGCCTCGAGGTTCCGGGCCTAGTTTGACTCTGCTGAATGGTGCCCGGGAGGAGATGTCCAGAAAAAAAGTCGGGTTTTTTTCCTGCATGGTTGGCCCTCTCTTCGGGTAAGGGGAAGCCTGATATTTATTGGTGCTAGAGAACAAGAGACGGCTCGTGGACCACTGAAGAAGCCCCCTCGGTCACGTGGGGATCCCTGTAAAACCCTAGGACGCCGACCATACATGGAGAAGGTAAAAAGAAAGGGAGAGAGAGAGAGAGAGAGATAGACCCGCGGACACTTCCCCCCACTCAGCAGTGGGGAAAGTCTCAAACAAGTCCATAAACAGCATCGTATTTGTATGGGATCTGTCTGAAAATCCTGACTTCCCTGAGGCCGTCGGCGAGATTCCTTGCCCGCTTTCGTGATTGGATCCGCCGGCGAGGGAGGGCCTGACTCCCCGCTCTCTGTCGTCCCCCATTGGCCAGTTGCCCGCCGACAGCCTGCCATCCTTTTGAACAGGGCCGTAGGAATCGGATCACGCGCGATTCCATTTTTAGTGACTGTTTGCTCTCCATGAGGAGAGAGGAGAGAGAGAGAGAGGGAGAGAGTTGAGAGGTGATTCCAATGTTATATACCATGACCCCGATAAAACCATTTTTAGTGACTGTTTGCTCTCCATGAGGAGAGAGGAGAGAGAGAGAGAGTTGAGAGGTGATTCCAATGTTATATACCATGACCTCGATCCCAGGAGGTGATGACCTCACCCGTGAAAACCAGCAGCAGCCCTTCTCGTGGAGCTTCTCCGTGGAAATTCAGGAAGGGCGGCTTTCCCGGAGAGAATGGGGGAGGGGTCTCTCCGGCTGATCGTTGCGGCGGCACTGCTGGCTGCCGGGGGGGGTGAGCCTGCATGGAGCGGCGTGCCGGCCCTGTTCGTCTTCGGGGACTCTCTCGTCGACGTGGGGAACAACAACTTCCTCCCTCTGAGCTTGGCCAAGGCTAACTTCCCTCCCAATGGCGTAGACTTCCCTGGTGGAAGGCCCACGGGAAGGTTCAGCAACGGCTACAACGTCGCTGACTATCTGGGTAACCGCGGCAAACAGAGAAGAGAGATAGAGAGAGAAGAGAGAGAGATCGCCTCTCACTGACTCCAAACTTCTTGCATGTCTCAGGAAAACTTTACGGCTTCAGAAGGAGCCCTCCGCCGTTCCTCTCCCTCAACGAACCCGAGATAAGGCAGCACGTCTGGGGAGGGATAAGCTACGCGTCAGCCGGTTCAGGAATCCTCAACTCCACCGGAAGCACCCAAGTAAGAGAACCCACCTACACCGCGCTGCTTAGACTTCCATTCCTTCTGTCACTAACCTCCGATAATTCCCGCAGGGAGAGGTCATCTCCATGGAAGCTCAGCTTCACTACTTCAGGACATCTCTCAAGAGCTTCAGAGCGGCAGAGTGCTCGATAAATCTGCGTCTTCTTCTCTCTAAGGCCGTCTTCCTCCTCTGCACGGGGAGCAACGACATCTTCGCATTCTATAACTCCAACTCCTCCCAGATCCATCTCTCCAAGGCTGAGTTCATCACCACTCTGACCTCCAACTATGAGAAGCACATTCAGGCCAGCCCTCTCTCTCCCTCTCTCTCCCTCTTCTCTCCTCCTGCTGGATCTGACAGAGTCGGTCTCTCCTGCTGGGCAGAGGCTTTACAGGCTCGGCGCGAGGAGGTTCGGCATGGTTGGGCTGGGCCTTGTCGGCTGCTGCCCCTCCATGAGGAGCCGAACTCCTTCAGGCGGCTGCATGGCCGAGTTGAACGATCTCGCCCGCCAGTTCAACCTGGCGCTGCGCAGGGTCCTCAAGAGTCTCTCCGGGAAGCTCAAGGGAATGAAGTACTCTTTCGGAGACGGGCAGAAGCTCGGCAATATGATCGCCGACGACCCATCTTCCTTCGGTGAGATCACAGATAAGAGTCATGATATAAGAACAGAAGTGGAAGATGACCATCGCTTTCTTCTAGGGTTCAAGGACGCCATGAAAGCTTGCTGCGGCGGAGGGAGGCTCAACGGAGAGCGGCCATGCAATGGGAACGCCACCGTGTGCGGCGACGCGAAGGAGTTCTACTTCTGGGACTGGTACCACCCCACGGCGGTCGCCGCCAGTTTGAGCGCTCAGGTGCTCTACGACGGCCCGCCGGAGCTGGTCTTTCCCGTCAACTTCCGGCAGCTCGCCGTCTGAAGACGACGACCCTCCGACGCTGTGGTCAGTGCCGTTCCAGTACGTGTTGAACTTGGGCATCGTTTCTTCATATATAAATTCTGGCCGTCATATCCATCGATCCGGAGGATCCACGGGAACGACGGCCAGCTGTTCGAGTTGGACTTCGGGTAGGATGATTCCCATGAAAACATTAGTCCCATATCGGTTATTTTAATAATCCAATTGACCAAGTAGCCTTTATAAAGACGCCCTGTTGCAATAACAGATTATCTTTGCGCTTGGGGCAATGACGCAGGCAGTGAGGTTATAACCGAGTCGCGTCAATTGCTGGTTGAAAACTATTTCCAAACCCCCTCCTCGGCCCCTAACCGGGCCGTCGAGAATTTCTGAAAGGGCTCCCTCTAACCCAGGGTAAAGCCCAACAAAGTCAAACTCCAAATGGTTATTAACCCACGTCGTACGCTGCCCTGGTCAACCATCAGCAGAACTTGCTGGCACATGGCGCCTGTCATAATTGATGACATACTAATGAAGTGGTGAGAAAGAGAGACGGGGAGAGAAAGATACCAAGGAATGTCCAACAAAGTCAAACCCGAATTCCACGACGTACGTTCTTTTGGTCAAGCAGAGGGCCCCACTTGCTTGCACTTGGCGCGTCTAGAATATCTGAAACATACTAATGAACTAGTGAGAGAGAGAGAGACGAGGAGAGAACGATACTCAGGAATGTCCTACAAAGTCAAACCCAGGGCAAAGCGCCATAAAGTCGAACCCGAAACCCACAACGTGCGTTCTCCTGGTCAACCCTAAGTAAAGGGCACCACTAACTGGCACATTCCGCGTCTCGCATATTTGATAGCATATTAATGAAGTATTGAGAGAGAGAGAGAGATAGGGGGAGAGAACGGTACAAAAGAATGTCAGCAACAAACGTATTCTTTGTCTCGTTGACTTCCGAATCTCCAGGCCGCAGGAAACAACGCCGAGCTGATGTCGCGGGGGGATCTCTGCCTATCACCGCCGATAGGCACGTTGACCCGGCGTTCACAGAGGAGATATACCAGTGGCCGGGGCGTGCGGAGATGAATGAGGAGCGCTAATCGAGAGAACCCATTGCGTTCCCCTAGGACCGAAGGATCAAACTGCCCAAATGGAGTGGATCGGGGAGGAAGAAGGCAGGTTTCTGACGGAGACGTCGAGCGGCAGCATGCGGTAATCGATGTCGAGCTCTCTCAAAACCTTGATCATCTCCTGAACGACGAGCTCCCTCCTCGCCCACCTCTCCCCCATGTTCTGGTGGTTCATCCGGTGCTGCAGCCACACCGAGACCTTCAGCTTGTTCATGTCCTCCACGTCTCTCAGCACCACCGACGGGTTGGGGTACCAGTGCTCTTTCCGCCCTTCAATAAACCTGCAGAGATTCGCAAGCATCATAGAACCTCATCTGTTGAGCTCAGTCGAATATCTAGCTTTCTCTTAAAAGGAATAAAATCAGAAGATGAACGAGGATTTGTTCTACTCACGCCTTTATTCTTTCTTTCATGACGGCGACCTTCTCCACAGGAGTAGACACATGGACGCAGAAGTCGACGCAGTCCCCCATGTCTGGACTCCGATACAAGTTGCTGATCGGCTTGGTGGAGAGGACGCTGTTAGGGTAGGCGATCTTCTGGTTGTCGTACCTCAAGAAGACTGTCGTCAGGATGTTCATCTCCTCAACGATCATCTGAAATTGCGTCTCAACCCCATGAATTGCAGAGCAAAGCGACGTTCACTGAATCTTTTTCTATATCTCTGGGAATTCATGCACCACCTGAACTCCATCAACCTCGCATCGATCGCCGACGTCGAAGGGATGCATCACGAATAAGAAGACAATGGCCTCAAACGTGGTCTTGCAGGTGTTGCCGAAGATGAAGGCCACCAGCAGAAGCTGAGAGCTGATGAGGACCAGGAAATGGGTAGTGGCGATGCCCAGAATGAGCAGCCAGATGACGACGACCACAATGGCCACAACGACGTTGACCATCTGGTGGAGCTTGTTCACGGCCGTTTTGGTGTCATTGAGTGTCAACGAGAGGGCCCTGCGCTCTCTGAATGCATTAACCTGAAGAAGTTGAATATAAACCCAACATTGTTGGAGGATAAGTTGAGAGTCTCGGGGGCTCATTCGTGTATCCGGGAACCAAGTAAGTAGATTTCATTACCACCCACTCCTTGAGGCAACTCCTGCTAACCCTCCTGCTTTCCTGTGCTCCTTCGAAGAGGCTCAGAGTCTTCAGCGCTTCGTCTTCCCCCATGAAACGCATCAAATCCACCAGGTAGATGTACCTGGGAAACATCACTCCAGACACCAAGTCATCCCTTCTGTGCAAAATATTCTCTACTGGTAACTTGAGATAAACTTTAGGAACGGAGGGGAATCATAAACGGAGAACCGACCTGGAGCCGGGCTTAGCAACGTTGGTGAAGATCTTCTTGGCTGCCGCCTTCGCCTCGTACTCGCTGCGAATCTGCATCGAAGACTCATCTTCTCGGCTCGCGTCAGAAATGTGCTCATCGAGAGTGGACAGGGATCCGTGCCGCACGATGTTCATCAGCCTCTTCATGTTCCACGCCGAGACGTTCTTCTGGTTGAGCTTGTGGAGGTGATCGATCGTGATGACCTCGTCTTGCTGCCGGCTCAAGTCCTTCCTCGAGACTGCGCCGGAAAACCTTCTGCTCCTCTCGACGGCGAAGCTCTTGGCGCCGAAAACCCTCGAGCTCTTGCTGCTGGGCATGGCCGCCGCTCTGAGATCCGGCGGCAGCGTGGCTCCAGCTTCCCTGAACTTCTGCACCTCCGCTATGATCTTCTCCTCCTCCTCCCTCGTGTGCTGGATCTCGATCAAGGGAGGTCCAGACAGCGTCTCGATCACGTACTGGTTGAACAAGGACTCCTGGATCCGATCGAAGTAGGTGCTCACGTGGAACGACGAAGCAAGCACCTTGACCAGGAGCGTCTTCACCAGCCGCATGGCGGTGCCCACCAGTAGGCAGATGAGGACCTTGGTGACGTACGCCAGGGACTTGTTCTTCGTCTCCCTTTGCACCTTCCGGTCGAAGATGCAGTACCAGGCGACAAGGACGAGCCCGAGCCAGAGGCAATTCTGGACGGCCCTCCGCACTCCATAGACGAAGTAGAGGACGCGCTTGCGAAGGAGGAAGTTGCGCTCGATGAAGAAGACGACGATGCGGATGCCCCAGCCGGAGACCAGACGGCCGCAGATGAGCACCAGCACGAGGAGCTCCCATCTCCAGAGATGGAGGTTCCCCAGCGTCTGCCGCCTGAGGACGGGGATGGTGAGGCTGCAGATCAGAGCGCCGACGATGAGGAAGAGGCTAGCCCACTGAACGATCGTCATAGGGTTGACCTTCACGCCTCTGTACTCCGCCGGGACGTCCTCGTCGGCGAACGGGTCGTCGTCGTCGTCGTCATACTTCTGCTGGGAAGACTTCCCGCCGCCCAGAGGGCCGGACCTCAGCTGCCCCGACCTGGGCACCTTCCCGGACCTCCACTCGCTCTCGCCGGAGGCCGCCGCCGCCGGCGGCGGCTGAACCGGCGGCGGGTCCATCAGCCTTGACCTCGTCTTGGTCCGCAGCACGCTAGGGTTCCGGCCGAAGGACGAGTTCGAGGTACATTTCAGGACCTCCCCACAGGTGCCGACGCCGCTGGTTCCGTGTTTCTTCGACGGAGGAGACCTCGCATCGCCGCGCTCGTTGGACGACGGATCCTGGAAAGAGACGCGGAGCTCCTTGGAGTTGGCGGCGGATGACGGCGGTGGCGGCTTCTTGATCTCCGCCATACCCACAGAGACATCGCCGGCGGCGGCGGCTACAGAGGCCTTGTGTCTGTCTTGAATCGTCGAAATGTGGCTCGACAGTGGATCCACCTCGCCGATCTCCATTGCCGGCCGCCGCTGCGGCCGCGAGGTGAAAAGGAATCCCGAGTCCCCAGGGCCGTCATCGAGCCCTCCCCCCTCACCGGCGGCGGCGGCGCCGTCCTTCCAGAACTCATAGCTGGACCCCCTCCACACGCCGGCGGCGCCACCGTCGGCGACGCCGGAGCTATCGCAATGCCGGGTGTTGCCATCAATCTTCACGACGACGATCTCCTGCTGCTCGCGGTCCTCCGCCGGCGGGTCCCCGCGGTGGAAGAGAATAGGCTGCTCCTCCTGGGCGTGGTCGAAGTCAGTGGAGGAATGCTTGTAGGAGCCGTGAGACTTGAAGGACCTTCTCAGCGAATCCATCATCTCCACTCCACCCTGTGTACTCCAATCGGCAACAACGACGACGACGACGGAGCAGGAGGAAGAAGAACGGAACTGTCTGCAGCCGCCATTCCCGCTCTTATTCGACACGCGGAGGCCCCTGAGGGGCGCCGCTTTACGGGGATCGAGCCTGCATCCCTTCCCTACGTCACTATTAATTTCCTTAATTATTTACATATATTAAGAATTTAAAGGGTAGAAGGCCCGAGAGAGAGAGAGAGAGAGAGCCCACAAAGTAGAACGGGCCCATTAAGGTGCTAATATCTACCTGTTGAGAAAATAATTATTCTTCAAAAAATTATTATATTTCACAACCATCCAGAGAGAGAGAGAGAGAGAGAGAGAGAGAGAGAGAGAGAGAGAGAGAGAGAGAGAGAGAGAGATAGAGCACTGCAAGAACTATTCGGAGGAAAGACTTCAAACCCGTATAGGTGAAGCGCGGGCCGGAGAGAAGCGAGCATCGTCAGTAGCCACGTAGGAGAGACGCCAGAAAGCCGCCGGCCGGCTTCTCATCCCCAACCTATCAAGCAACAGACCAAGAACACACAAGACCATGAGAAACAGTGCGCACCCAGAGCTGGGTCTCTCATGGGCAGTAAGTAGATTGCACGATCCATGCATATATACCTCTCCGGCAATGAGCCGCAGAGCGTCTAAGATTTCAGAGAACTCAGGCCTCTCGCTCGGGTCCTGGTGCCAGCATCGCTCGAGCAGCGCCGCCAGCCTGGGGTGAGTGCTCTCCGGGATGGAGGGCCTCAGACCCTGGTTTCACATCATCCGATGCCCCATAAGAAATCACCGGTCATGGGGATCAATGGCTGGCGGTAAGAAACGGCGCACCTTTTGAACCACGCCTACTGCCGCTTGCAGGGGCGTCAGATTCTCGTAAGGAAGCTGGGGAGTCATCAGAACCGAGGCCCAACTTCAGGGGAGTAGTGGCCGGGTTTGGAAGAAAGAACAAGGCAGAAGTGAAGACAGACCTTCCCTGTCAGAAGCTCCCAGAGCACGATTCCAAAGCTGAATACGTCGGCTTTCTGATCATATGGTCTGTGCTCTATGACCTTCAAGAGAGGCATGATGATGATGATAAAGAAGTCTCTATCTCGGAAGTCAACCCAACACTGGGCGGATTAGAAATTGCTTAGACTACTACCTCTGGAGCCATCCAACGGTACGTTCCGGTTTCTGAGGTCATGACTCCAGGCTCCGCTTTGACTCTGGCAACTCCAAAGTCAGCGACCTTGACAACCTGGCGCAGAGAAGGGCAGTAGAAGGATGAAATCTTGTAGAAATGAATTGAAGACGAGGGAAATAAGAAACTGGAATCTGCGAAATTTTTCAGCACGCAGCAACTATGGAAAAAAAAAAATCAGAAATATTTACAGAAAAAAGTTCTATATGATATATGCTTGTCATAAAAGCATATAGCAAGGATATGATGATGAAATCATGAATACGATATCAACTAAATAAAATGATGTCTCTGATAGCAAATCAAAGACATCAAAATTTCTTAGAACAGTATCTAGTAAAGCAGCTAAGATCGAATACAGCACAAGTGCAGCGCGCGTATTATCAACGATGAAAAAAGATGGCACAATGACAACCAAGGAGTGTTTTACCTCATTTTCATCCATTAGAAGATTCGCGCTCTTTAGATCCCTGTGGATAATGTTACTCTGGTGCAGGTAATTCATTCCCTTGGAAATATCAAGTGCTACTCTGAGTAAGACGGGTAGCTTAAACATGCCATTTTCTTTATGAAGAAAATCGTGTAAACTCCCCCCAGACATAAATTCTGAGGAAAAAAAAATAAAAATGAATCACATGGGTCAAAAATAATCACACCTCTAATGGATATATTCATAAGGGTGAATTAATTGTCAGAGAAGTCTGCCCTTGGTACCTGTAACAATCAACATATTTGGGAACCTGGTGCATGCTCCAATGAACTGCACAACATTCTTGTGGCGAACTTTCCTAGATTAGAAATCACAGAGTTAATATCCTGCCTAGAACCCTGAAGAACGAGTACCTCATAAATTGCCAAAACAGGATTAAAAAGAAGATGATGAAGAATTATTAACAAAAGTGCTGTCCTGAAAATGATTGAATTTCCCAGTGAATCAAAAACTACAGCACAGAAAAAAAATGACACTAACATGAAGAAAAAGAGGCTGGCCAGCCAAGCTGAAAGAAATACTTCTTCACTCAGTTGTTAGAACATTCTTTCATTAAGAATACTGCCTAAATCCGTTAATTGTTTTTTTTGCATGAGTCTATATTAGATAACTCAACAAGGGCGTGGACTACCTACTGAGAAGAAACATAGTTAGGCTGCTTCTACGGAACTGCACCGTGTTATTATTATATTATCATTTGTTCGAGTGGTTTCCATTTTATTTTTTCTAGCAAGATACACGAGTCAATCGGAGTTAACCAGATAGAAACAAGACTTCAAGCTTCTGGATCAAACCTCATAATGTATACTTCCTGAGCAAATTCCCTCTGCATTTCTGCAGTTAAATGCTCTGGGTTCAATACTTTAATCGTTACATCCTGATTGCAGTAAGTCCCTCTATACCTGGAAAGGAAATCAATCTTGAGAAAAAAAAAACACTAAAAATTGGATATTAATAAATTCGATACCAGGAATTTACAGGTCACCGTAAGATCCAGATGCCAATTTTCTTCCAAATTTTAATAGTTTGACATCAACTTCCCACTCATCAGTCCCATCTGTAGGTATCTGGACATGGTCAGGTGATGGTTCCTCACTGATCTGCTCATCTTGTATTGTAGGGAGGAGCAAATAAGAAATTGGCGGGACTTCCTTCTGCAACACAAAGGAATTGTGCATAACAAACTAGTTATCCATAAGTATACGACAATTAATGAAACTATAAAGTTATAAATGAACCAAAAGAAGCAACTAGTCTATGGCCAAAAAATTCCTTTGTTTGGATGCAAGACATTAATGAGATTGAAATTTAGAAAGAAAAACCCATCTCACATAAAAATAATATAAAAAAATTCACTGACAGCATGAGATCTAACACATTTATCATACTTCAAATTTTATACCCTTTTAAACAATTCCACGTTACTCTTTCTTGCCAACTATTAAAGAAAATCCATGTTATCATCATGGACAATGAAAGAAAAGTGAATAAAAAGACTAACCTCAAACTTGTGAACTCCTTTTTGGATTGCATGTCTAAGCCGTTCAGATTCCTGAAGACATTTCACAAGTAGATAACTTGACCATTATATGCAAAGAAAGTAAATTGACACGGACTCAAAAAAAAAAAAAAGAAGCCCTAAATTATAGTAAACATAAAAACAAATGGAACCCTTGAGACTCTATGCGTCGATCAAACAGAAAAAAGAAAACTTGTACCCTGGGTTGCCCTCTTACTTGCCCATGTAGTTGAGTTCAGCTTTCTGACTGATTTCACACGTTTGGGAAGTTACTAGGAAGGTAGAAACGGCAGCAATGAATCATAACCCGAATGAAAAGAATGATTTTCCGATTGTCCACGTCCTTATACACATTTGGATACACTGAATCGCATATTTAAAGAGGAGTTGAACAAAGACAGTGAGAGTTAGAACCAGCCAGATTGACTCACTATGACTGGCATCTGAGTCAGAAAACTCAACGAACCCTGACCGGATCTACCATACAGCTGCGTCATACAATCAACAGATAGTGTCTGTTGGAAATTCTAGGTCGTAAGAAAATTATGTAATTAGCTGAGGGTGTTTTTGCAAAAGTTGAGTATTGTTACTCCCTACATAATAGGGGTTACAGTTGAGTGAATCTTGAGGCGGTTTCCGCAGTTTTCTCCTGTCCTTTGTGACAAGGTTTTTTCTCCATTTCCAACATGGATGGTATCAGAGCGGGTTCGTTCTGCCTGGCGCTTTTTGTCTCGGGGAGCATCGATGTCACCATCTCTGGCATCTGGCGACAAACAGGTTACAGATTAGGGTTTCAGACCCCTCTTTTGTCCGGCGAAGCCTTCCGCCTCTGCGGAGTACCTTTCCGGCGAGGTATTCTGCCTCTGGCGAGTATCTTTCCGGCGAGGTCTTCCGCCTCTGCCGAGTTCCGTTCTGGCGTCATCTTGATGCACTTATTGCGGCATTGGAGGCGTGATATCTTTCCGCCGTCTGTAGGCGTGATATCCTGCCATTTCGAGCAGGTTTTCTTTCTGACATTCAGAGCGGTTCTACTTCCGTCAGTCCTCTAGTCTAGGGCGGCGAGTCCATTCTCATCCCCTCTTCCGGCGAGGTCCTCTGGCAGCAAGGGAGTTCTACGACGAGAGAGCACTGATCTTGCTCTGTCCCCTTTCTTCTACCATGATCTTCATCTATCATTTGACATAAAACCTTACGTCTAGCGGCTGAAATATCTAGGTCTTTTATTGTTGTTTCCATCTTCATCAGCGTTTTATGAGAGGTGACATCAACCTCTCTTATCCACCCTTGTCACCCTTGTCTTAGTTTAGTGTCATCTTCCTCAGTTTGTCTCCCTCTGCTCTGCATCAATCTGATGTCTTCCCTAGTCCGGCGACCAAAGTTTTCCACAGTCCATGTTGTCTGGTCCTGTCTGTTCTCCCCTACCTTCATTGGAATGCCTTTCACCATCCAGCTCGTCCACAAGTTCATTCGTCTCAATCTCACTCGATCCATGGGAGGGTTGTTGGCCCTCGCCTCTTTTGAGAACTGAGGTCCGACATCACATCAATTACCATAGCTGGCTATGTCGCCAGAAGTTTTTTCTCCATTTCCAACAGTGTCATTCGGTAATATCAAAAACCTTCAAACCAAGAGACTATCAAGTTACAGTCACAGAGATCAAGCCAGGGGACACAGAGAACCCTGACTGGATCTACCATATTATTGCTTCACACAATCAACAGATACTGTAATCCGACATCATAAAAAAACTGCAAACCAAATGGCTACCAAGTTACAGTCAAAGAGACAAAAGCCAAGAGATATATTTCTCATCTGTGGTTCGAACAAAATTGAAAGAAGTTCAATGGATCTATATAATCAACCATATGATTTCAACAAAAGGCAAGTACTATATATCACTAACATATTTCATTCTTTTATTTATTGATAATGTATCATAATCTTTTATTATAATCAAACTGAAAAATTGCCTTTTTATTAGAATGCCAATAAGCTCTGAACATAAATAAAAATGCACCGTCCTTGGCGAAGCCATACGACACAGAGCTACACTACAGAATTGCATTTTTACGTTTTCAAGAGCTTACGAAGGAAAGAAATCAGTACGGAATAAAAAAAAATGTTTTGACCATGCAATAAGTTCGTGCTAGTGTATCCGATCATAGCACATATTTCCAAAGGATGTCTAAGATAAAAAGACTCATAGAAAAAACATCTGAAGGAACATGACAAATGCTTGGTTCTCAGTATAACGCCAAAGAAAGCAAGAATACCTCATATGGCCACCCTTCAACCACAAAAACATCCAGCGAGTATCCATCATTTGTAGAGAAAGCATGGGCTTCTTGGATGTTTAGGCCGAGTTCAGCTAGTAGACAAGTCAACTGTACATGACATTTTCATTTCAAACAAGTTCAGATTTGTCTCTCCTATTTTACTGACAAATGGAAAAACATTGCATGATTATTTCCATGGCAAGCAATCAGCTCAAGCTAAAATGAAAATAAAGACGAAACTGGAAGTTGGACGATTGGGCATGTGAAATATCTGATAGAGTACATATTTTAGAGAAACAATGTGCTTATGTGATCTCTGCGACCTTTTGCTCGGTTACCTGTGGTAAGAAGTAATTACCTGACTGAGAAGCCTCGGCTTGTCATATGCAGCAAAAGTAATCTCATGCATGTGCCTACCCCATCAAACAACAGGCCCGAATCAACCATCTAAAATATGATAACTAATGGGATGTCACTCCAGCTCAGGAAAAAAAAAACCCTTAAAATTATAAATAAAATTAAATTCCAGAAATTTTTCTATAGAAAAGAAGTTTCAGATGAAGTACAGTATAAGAAGGAATGATGCGAAGCAGTGCAGCTAATTATATATGGATGGATCACTTGTGCACGACATGCAACCAAACTTTAAGCTTTTCCATGAATTGTTTCCAGAAACGTAGTTTACATATAAAAAATATATGCATTATATCCACATCCATTTCCTGTCATAACGTCAATATCATTCCAAGGTGTCTTATGCCCACACATAATTTTGATACCGCAATAGGTGACTAAAGTGCTAGTTATTGGATTTCATAGTTTCATGTATCAGGGGACGCCCAGCAGAAGGAACCTAATGGCTAGCCCTCTCTAAAATATACTTACAGGTAGAACAACGAGGATCAGGGTGATGGTAGTGACAAGAAATGACATTATATTAGGATGAATTAGAGAGGTAAGAAGTGAAATTTTTGGGGCTTGATGACCCTGGTAAACAATGCATAGCAAAATCTCTCAACCACATATTCGCACTTGCTGGCTTATAGATGTAGTCTGTATTTAAAATCTTGACCAGGATTAAATGAACGTCGTCTAGAGATGTAGTCTTGGCTTCACCGTCTATAATGGGGCCAGAGTAAGAGCTGATAACCAGGGCTGACATGACGCCCTTCACTTGGCCTAGTTAAAAGGATAGTCTAGAGGATGATCGAATAAGCTGGAACAATAGTGCATAAAAACAATATCAATATAAAGCAGAGTTGCTACAAACATCTTCACGGCATGTAGCAAACCAGGATAAAATTTTCCAAAGAGCGAAAAAGTACCTTGGGCAGTGAAAATTAGCACTTTCAGTACTATGAACACCTTGAACACATGTTCTGTTGCCTTCAAGAGCAAGTGCCTCAAGATTAGAAGATGAACCAAAAGCAGGGGGCGGATGAATGCTGAAGAATTAATTAATTCAGCAGAATAAAATTGATGTCAGCTCATCAACACATAAAAATATCACCAAAAACATAGAGAAACAAGCATCAAACGTAAGAAGATAATGATAGATACCTTCTGCCACTCAAATTGGTGGAGCAGTTTTGCACTCCTTGGCCTTGGGGATCAGAATCAAGGGAATCATGCGCTGGGGGAACCTAAGTACGATAGAAAATCGAAATTTATGGGATTGCACAACAAAGTTTAGGGGAATCTGAAAATGAAAATAATGAGCAACAATGTAAACGAAAAATTACATAATAAGAATGAAAAAGGGGAGAGACGATCTACCAAAACCATTTCACTCTCTTTTTTCCTTTCTTTGTGGGGAGCTAGAGTGATTTGCATACTACTGGACAAGGACATAAATATCTGAAGGAATCCAGAATTGGAATAAAAACTGACCCTCGTTATTTCTTTCACATGCAACTAAATCACTGACAAGTAATGCATATTTATAATACCGAAGGCTTTACAACCAGATTATGGCATCTTTGGCCCTTATATGTCAAAGCTGGTGAGTAAGGCAATCTGTAAACAGAGCTCATCAGCTCATCACTAACTGGTGAAATTTGTAGCTCACTACCGAAGCAAGCAGAATTCATTGCAAGATCAAAATCTCTCCAAGGTGGCACAGATTGTTAGACCCTAACAGTGATGAAGAACTGTACTAGCATCCTGATGCAGTCGCCGTAAATTAGACTATTTCGTATCGAGAAAGGTGATGATACGTCAGCCTTAAGAAACTGTAGGCTGTTGTTCTACCTGAACAAGACGAACGTGAAACACAGGTCTCTTGGATGAGTCTGCCGCCATCTGCAATAAGCATTTGTGCATCAAAACGTCTTCAGCCGTCTCCACGTTGACGTCCAGCGCGTACCTATAAGTCAACCAAGCCATAAAATTACCTTCCTGCTAACATTTCATTGAATTACCAGCAGATAAATACAAAAGGTGGAAGATGAGCCGGGAAGGTTGAGAGGGGGAGGAATAGATTACCGGATGGGAAGGCGGTTGAAATGTACCCAGAGCTCGTCGTCAAAGCCAGGGAGTCCCGCGTCCTCGCAGTTCCTGAGGCGGCGTAACACCTCGTGGTAGATATCAAGCTTATGACGCCGGCGAAGCACGGGATCCGTATCCATTGCCCAACTACAGCAGCTCTCGTTGTCGTCCATCGCTGGCCGCACTCCCCGCAAAGCCAAAACAACACGATGGCGAGGGAAACACAGAGGACGTCGCCCGTTTCCTAAAGTAGAGGGAGATGCATTCTCCTACGCAGAAGACGAGCGAGAGAGAGAGAAAGAGAGAGAGAGAGAGAGAGAGAGAGAGAGATCACGCCTGCGAAGGAAGGAGAAGAGGGGGAGAGTGTTCGAGAAGTGATAAGCCGAGGTGAAATGCGATCGTCGAGGGGTGATTTCGAAGGAATCACGCCATCATGATGAGCAAATGAGAGAGATCATTCGTCTACTGGCGTGATCGCCTTCAAATTCCTCCTCCTCCGCCGCCACCGTATTAACCATCAGCAGGGCCGGCAATCAGGCCCCCCGCTTGCCGACGACCGCTCACCACCCACCACCGACTGGCCCCTGATCCCGTCCACAGCTCAACTGGCCCCCTCCCTATCCTCCCTTCCACCTCTGCCGTCGGGAAGCATCCCCCGAGTTATCCGAAGCCTGTGAAAATGTTTATCATCCTCGCCGGTGGATCATCGACGTGGACTCCACGAGCCGCGGCGGCGCGCGCAGGCAGACCCGGCGGCGGCTTTTCGAGAGACGAAGCGCCGCCGGGCCCGAAATGAAAAAAGCCCGTAGAATCCAGCAGGCGTGAGAGAACGGAGTGACCAGATCGCATCGAAGCCCGAAGGCCGGCCCGAAAAAGCACCGGGCCGGCTCTAACAATGGGAGAAGACGAAGGATTTGCAGAGAAGAAACATGAGCAGACAAGACCAGGAGGTCAGGCCTCTTCCTCGCCGATGGCGTCTCCGCCTTCCAGCACCCACTGCTCGAGCCCGTCGAAGTCTTCTTCTTCCTCCTCCTCGGGAGCGTACCAGCGGCAGGACCCGTCCCAGTGCCCGGAGGGAAGCTCCTCGCCGTAGCAGGCGACGTTGAGGAACGGCCGGCTCCGCACCAGGGCGTCGACCAGGTCCCGGTTGGAGCTCCCGGTCACGCCCAGCCACCGCAGCCTGGGGAAGTAGGGCTTCTTCAACCACCGGAAGGCCAGCTGAGTGATTCCCCGGCTCTCGTACAGGTCCAGCAGCCGCAGGGTGCTCCCCAGCCACCCTCCTCCGACCTGCATCGACGCCAGCGCCATCACCGCCACGTCCCCGACCAGCGGGCATTCCCGCAGGCGAAGCTCGGCGATGGGCGCGCCGCTGCGGGCGAGCAGGAGGATCCCGTTGTCGGAGAGGTTCGGCAGCCTGGACAGATCCACCGCCTGCAGGGTCCCCGCCAGGGAGCGGCTGAACACGGCGGGGATGCAGCCGTCAGAAAGCCGCTTGCAGCCCCTCACCGAGAGGGAAACCAGGGAGGTCGATCTCCTGCCCAGCCGCGATAGCCCCCAGTCGCTGATATCGGTGCCGTCGAGCAGCAGCGCCTGGAGCTTGGGGAGGCCGGCGAGGGGTCTCAAGGCCTGGTCGCCTAGATGGCGGCTGTCCCTCAGGTCGACGACGGCAAGGTCCCTGTTGCAGGAGAGCCTCGCGACGGCGAGGTCGGTGAGGCGGTTGCAGCGCCGGAGGCTGACGTGGGTCAGGCGGAGGGAGGTGGCGGAGATGTCGTGGAAAAGGAGGTCCGTGAGCTGGGTGCCATGGGAGACCTTGAGCTTGCAGAGCCTGGGGCAGGAATGTAGGATCGCCCTGAAGCCGGTGTCCGTCACGCGGCAGAAGCCCCCCAAGCGGATGCTCTCCAGCGCCGGGCAGGTGTCGGCCAGCAGGAGGAACCCCAGGTCGTTGACTCGCTTAAAGTACGTGAAGTCGTACTCCTGGCTTCGGACCAGGGAGAGGTGCTTCAGCTTTCCCCGCCGGTTGACCTGCTGCAGGCCGGCGTTGGTAAGGTCCATCGCCGCCGAGGGCTCCCCCATGGGCGCGTCTTGAAGGTCGAGGTGGTTCAGGGAGACGAGGGCCTCCGAGATGGAGCCGATCAGATCGTCGGTGATGCAGTCCAGCGAAAGGGACAGCTTCTGAAGACTAGAGAACATGGGCGGCCTGACGGCGCACGGCCCTTCCTGCCAGACCCTCTCGCCGAGGAGGAGGTCGTTGACCACCACCATTGGGATGCAGGAGACCTCGAGGCTGGCGAGTTTTCCAGAGGCAGTTCTCCAGATCTCCGCAAACTCAGGGCCGGCAAACAGAAACATATCGAGCAACAAGGACAGTGACTGCAGCAAGAAGAAGAAGAAGAAGAAGAAACCATGGTCTGCATCAGAGGAAGATTGTGGGACCTCCAATTAATTAAAGTGCAGCCATGAATCAGCCGATGAACACCATTAATGTGATGGAAGAAATAGAATACCAGGTCACCAGTTGTGGGATTATCAGCCCTACTGCTCACTGTGACGTTAATAACAGGAATGATGATAGAAATAGAATGCCCGCCCTACTCCAATCACTGAAGATTTTGACAGGTGAAGATGGCAAGAATCCTTTGGTTCTCACTGGAATTCCTAAAGATCCCCACTAGAATTGACTTCTCACGGTTTTGAAGCACGTGCTTGAGAAAATTATCAATATAACTAAACAGCACTAAGATGTCTTCACCTCTAGCTGAGAACAGCCATGGAGCACCTCCTGTAGTTCAGAGAATATGATATCGCGCCCTTTTTTTTCAGCCAGAGAACTCACGGACAGTGACCTGCTCACAAGAAACAGTGCTTCAATTACAGCAGGAAGATTTACGATCATTTTATTCACTTGAATCTTTTTGCATCAGCTAACACTGGAAAACTTTCAATTCATGCCTGATGCAACTGAAGTGGCTCTTGGGAAATAATTTGGCAAATGGGGGGGTTAAAACCGGAGAAAAAGAGCTAAGAGGATTAATAGAATGAAAAGCAGTTCGCTATTCTTGAGCTGAATGAATGGTGGAGCTTCATATAACAGGTGAGCAGCTTCAATGAAGGGGAAAAGAGGAAGACTATGAAAGGTACCCAGAATTACAGTAGAAAGGTATGAATGATAAGGGAAACATGAGCACAGCTAGGACGATTGTGGGAAACTTTTTCTTTAAACGGGAAGCCTCCACTTCGATGGATAAAAACCCTCACTGAAGAAAGGATTCAAAAAGGCACTATCAGATGAAGTGAACAAGGGTTCGCCATGAATAATTTTTCATGTTTCCTCATGCATAAAGAAACTATAATCAACACAGACTCTTTGGTAGATGCCAAGGTATTTATATGGTTGCTTATTCTGAAAATGAAGAACACAAACATCTTCATAATCATTCTTGACGCGTCAATGCTCATGAGGGAAATAAGAACTGGTGTATGATTGCAACCGAATATGAATCAATCATCATTTCAGATTCCCATCGTGTCCTGTGGAGGCCTGGACGTTGGGTACAAGATTTTCCCTTTTGCAAGAAGAAACCATACATTACCATTATTCATAAAGAAAAACAGTAGACTAAAATACAATTATGAGAAAAGACGAATCAAACCAGTATAACATGCACACCAAATCTAAGCACAGCATAACAACAATCCTTCTATGAGGCATTTTAGATTATTACCAATTTCCCGATGTAAAAACATTGACTAATGACATAAGCGAAGATCCTCCACTGCAGCGTTATGTTTGCATACAAGTCAGAACCTTTTTTATTGGATACCTTTGGTGTTTGCTCTGAGTTATGCCAACCTCTATTCTCACACTAATTTTCCAATTATCACCGAGAAAATGGAGATAACTGACTGGGGATGCCGAATGGGTCTCTTCAGTGAAAGGAAGAAAGTTTTAGCCTCTTAAAACTAATAATAATAAAAATAAAAGTCCAATTTCTTACTCCTTTCCCCTTCCGTGCACACACACATAATGGCAACATGAAGATTCAATGCCCTTGCCACACACGAAACCTTAATACCTATTCCTTAAGACGACAGCAATCCTTAGACAATGAATGAACAGTTACCACACGGCTTATTAGAATTCTAGATGAATTCACTCTATTATCGGAGTTTTTCAGAGAAAATCTGTCACAGAAGCTAAAACTTCTGACATTTATCAGAACGAAACGCTACATATGAACGGATGCACAGATATTGCGAAATATTTGGGATACAAGACAACGAAGGATGGAGCATTGGAATCTGTCTGGAGTAGGAACGGAATTGCTATCATATTGATCGGAATGGTGTTTAGTTCGTCCTAGTTTACCTGAGAGCACGGCACCTGCGCCCCACCTCAGATAGCAGCCTTCCGCTGAAATTGTAGCAGTTGAATAGGGAGAGCTCTTCTAGTGACGGCCTAGCCAAATCAAAAATGACTGAATCATCGAGCCTCCGGCAGTCCAGCTTTAGGCTCCGTAGGTACGGATTTGGCGGCAGCAGGTGCCTTAGAAGATCTACTGTTGGAGAAATCTCCTGAGGAAGGTAGCCAAAATAGAATATACGATTCGCGATTATGGCAGAAAAAGGGCAAAATCCCCGAGACCCGTGGAAATTGTCGCTAGGGCATACCAAGAGGTGGAAGGCCGGCAGGAAAGAGAGGGCCTGAGCGGCGCAGTCGTGGAGGGAGCGGCTGGTGGCGGCAACGGAGCACAGGGAGGGCACGTCCAGCTTCAGCAGCACCGTCCCCATCACGGCCGCCGGCAGGTGAGTTATCGTGGTTGTCCTACAAGAATCAGCCTCCATGTCCAACCCAACTCCGCCGCTACTGCTCCCTCCTTGCCCCTCCACCATCTTCGGGAATCAGATCTATCACCCCTGATTGTCAGCCATGCTGCTTGGTGATCCTCTAAGTAAACGAGCGACGCGCGAGCCCAGGGAGAGACCTCTCTGTCTCTGTCTCTGTCTCCCCCGCGCACGGAGCCATGATGTTCATCTTGGGAAAGAGAGGCTGTTGCGGATCTTTGTCGTGGCATGGACAGCCAAATGACCTTTTGCCCCCCATGTGCACGTCCGGTGTACGTTAGGTGTACGTTTTGCAATGCCTTGCTTAGAAGAAGGAATGGATTCGATGCGCATATTCAAATCTTCTCTCACGATCTTCGAAGCCCCCGGTCAATAGAGTCAACGATTCCATTCACCATTCTCTCTCTCTCTCTCTCTCTCTCTCTCTTTCGACCATATATCTCTGTCACACGTATCCTGCAAGCCTTTCTCTCTCTCTTCCGTCTCCCCCGGCCGCCAGAGTTCAAAAGACCCAGCTCCCTCTCTTGATTTAAGTCAAATGAGATTCAATTTGATTTAAGCCAATCGGCGGCTGGCACCCTTGGTGGATCCCAAGTGGAACCTTGGGTCAACCTTTACTGAATCTCTTGAGACCAACAGGAGGATTCACCCTATCCAATACACCCACGAAGAAGAAGAAGAAGAAGAGCCAATGGAGATAGGATCTCTCCTCGTTTCGTAAAGATGGAATGACATCTGAAACTAGCCTTTAGAATTTGAAATAATCCTTCTTGTCGCTTGATCTTTCTGTCTAACTCTCGTTCTCTCTCCGTCTCTCTCCCGTTCTTTCGTTCTTACTCTCATCCCCCTTCTTCTCCACCGGAATTCCTTACCCCCTTTGTTCTATCTATCTCTTCCCCTATTTCCTCTATCTCTCTCTTTCTCTTCTCCCACTTCGTCGTCCTTCAATTCTGTCGTCAGCCCTTTCGTTTCGCCTGCTTCTCGTCCGCCCTGTCACCAAGCCCACCTTTCTTTTCTCTCCCATCGTCGCCACCGTTCTGCCTCCTCACTGTCCGCCCCGTCGCCAGCATTGCCACCTTCTCGCCATCCGTCCCATCGCCGTCGTTCCGCCTCCTCGCCACTATTCCACTTTCTCACCGTCCACCCTACCGCAAAACCTTCTCCTTCTCTCCCTCACCTTCGCCACGGAAGCCTCTCTTTTCTCTGTCTCCTGCCGTAATAAACCCCTCCTTTTTTTCTCTCTCCCATCGACGCCCTCTCATTTCGCCCCTTTTCTCTCTCCGCCCTTTTATTTATTATTTATTTATTCACACCCCAACTCTACCACCACCGCCACCTTACTTTGTGCCTCTTCAAATTCTAATGATCTTCAAGACCTTTCAATTGACTAAGGCCCATTGAGCCCTCTCCTTTTGTGGAGTTTGCTCAATTCAAAAGTAATTGCTCTTAAGACTTAGTGTGATCCATAAGAAAGCCACCCTTTACATCTTGATGATCCTAAACAACAGTTCTAATCATCTCTGATTTCTTGAATTAAGGCTCTCTTAAAGGGTAATTAAATGATCTTCTAATTTGGAATTGTGGGATTAATCTTCTTTTAAACCCTCTCTGAAATTCAATCAAAATCTAATTTCTAAACCTCTTCTTAGATTTCCTAAGAAGAGGTTTAGAATGGTGGTCTCCATCCTAGATATTTGGTCCCACATCAGAGAGAGATTGAATGGTGGGATGACTTCCATGTGAGAATCTAATTTGCCATGTATGTTAGACGTACGATCGGGGTGATAGTTTGTTTTAAATAGTGTCTAGTTGATCTTCGAGTTAGTAAAAAATAAATTTACATCTCCTAAGCAAGTTCATGGAAGGTAGTCAATCATATATGTACGATGTAAATGTTTTTGTTGATGGATTGTCCCAGAGTTTATAAAACATTGAATGAATAGATGATTGCCTAGGCATCAATTAATCATTGGTGCTCACATAATTCACATGATTAACTATACTTTTATGGATGAAATTGATCTCCTAACACCAGTCTAACACTGCCCATTAATGTTGACATGAAAGTATTTGAGAGCATTGATAAAGATAGCGCCATAGGATGAGTTAATAGAGTGAATGATCATGGTATTCATATACTTAAAGATGATGTGAGGTTAATAAGGTTGCCTTTGATTAGGTGGTACATGAGGAAACATTGAATAAATAGATAACTTATTCATTCAATAAAGTTTTGTAGGCTTGAAGAGGCATCTCAAAGAAGTCAAGAAATATAATTAAACTTAATATGAATTATTTCCAACTTCAACCTAATCTCAAAAGCAAGATTGTTTGTTGAAGTACCACAAATTTTTAGAACGAAACTTATAAGATCATCTATGAAAGACCTACACATTTTGAAGTAAAGAAGAACTCAAGATCAATCGCGTGCACCCTACACGATATCACGTCATCAGAGATTGTGAATAAAATGATAAGTTCAATAATAATATCTTAGCTCAATCTTTAAGACAAAGATGTCCATTGATTAGTTCAAAATTTCTGGATATATTATCAAGGACAGAATACATGCGACTAGAAAGATTTGAACTAAAATATGAGCAAAGGTTAGAAGTGTAGATTATGGATGGTAACTTGTTAGTAGAATACATGGACTAAAAATAAGTCAAACGATTATATTTGAGCAAGACTTTGAAAGAGAAAATATTTATTGATCAGTTATAAATTTCCAAAGGAAATATCAATGACAAGAAGCACAATAATAGAACGCTTGAAATTTAAAAATAATTGAAGGCCACCAGTACATTGATAGAGTAATGAAAAGATTCTCATAACTACTTTCAGATGCTAAAATGATAGAGATATGTCGGAGTATAAAAATGACTAGCTGAAGGCAAACCAAAGTTAATTTTGAATGAAAATATTTTTATCTATACATCATTCACTCAAGCTCAAGAAGATCTTATTAAATCTTCCACAACAAAGTGACTATGCATCTTAACAAAGCTTCATCTTATTAATTCATTTAAAACAATCTACAAATTAATCTACAAATCTGAAGGTTGTATTTCTCCATTAAGTCCTAAGGATTAAGTCCTAAGAATTAATCTACATCCTATTAAATAAGATATTTTTGGATCTAAGGAATGATAAATGAGGCTCCTAGCTCCACTGAAAGAGGAGGACGGTGGTCTGGAAGATAGGATGTCAGGAAGCACGAAAAGGTAAGGGAGAAGGCTAAAGAGCAAGGAAACAAGGAGGATCTAAAAATCAAGGGGGTTGCGATCAATAGAGCTCTTTGCATTTTTAATTTTTATCATTGTCTTATTTCATGTCTTTTTATTCTTTGGGTGACATACATTTATTAGAGATATCTTATTTTCGAATTCCATTCATCTGAGTATTTCATTCTTCTCATTTTCTTAGGTGACAGACAAAGAAAGGAGAGAACATTAGTTTTTGTTGAAAGTTATAAGATTTAAATTAAAATTCTCGTTAAATTACTTGAAATCTCTTTCCTCATCCTTGGGTGACAAACAAGGAAAGGAAAATATTTTTAATTCAAAGTTATAAGATTTAGTTTATATTTTATATTCTAATTAAAAAAATTCTTAGTTCTATAGGATTTTGTTGTGTGAGAAACAACAAAAAAATTATTTTCATTTTATAATTTATTTTTTATTACGAATTTAATTATTTTTTACCCTTGATTTAGAACCAAGGTGTTTTTATATTTCATTTATTTTAATTTTATTTTAGATCTTATTTTTAATTATATGAAAGCATTCTCCAAGTCAATAGATGCCATTCTATTGATAGGCACCCTTCTCATCTTTCTATTCCATAATCCCTAAGTTATTTTTCTCTATCCATGAGTTAATCATCTCATCATTAAAACTCACTTTCTGATTATCTACAGCTAATAAGAGAATTATACTAATGATATTAATTGAGAAAGGAGGCTATTTAGTATTGAAGAAAAGATTGTGTCATTTCTCTCATCACATTTTATTTTGCTCTTTTCTTTTAGGTAGTATTTGTATTAGAAAAATTAAAAATTCATCAACACTCGTTCTCACCATCTCAAAGAAATATGGTCAAAACTGAAGTATGAGTGAATTCAAAATCATCGTAAAAAAAGGTTGACCATATTTTGTCTCTCTTTATTATTCATCAAAACTCTCTCCTCCTCTCCCTCTCTCTTTCTCATGAGATCTCTCTCTACTTCTCGTGAAATCCCTCTCTCATTCTCTTGAGATAACTCTCTCAAAATCCACTTCTTTCTCTAGTTCCTTCTCTCTTTTCCTCTCGTGAGATTTCTCTCTCCCTCTCTCTTCTCCTATTAAGAGATCTTTCTCTTACTCTTGAGATATATCTTTCTCAAGTTCCATGTCCCTCTCTCTCCCTCTTCCCCTAAAAATCATTCCCTATGCCTAAAAATATTCTTCTCTTTTCTTTCTTCCTTCCTCTGCCCTTTCCCTTCTCTTCCATTTCTTCTATATATAATTATTTACATCTTTAATATTTACAACACTTGGTATATTATTTTTTTTTATTGAAAGGGTTAAAAACTAAAATCATTGTTATATAAAATAGATCAATAAATACACATCACCCAACATGTAAACAACATATTAGATCCAATATTTTTTAGATGTTTCCTACTTTCTATGAAAATTCAAATGAAGATCCATATCAGCACTTGAAAGATTTATTAGACTGTTGAGTATAGTTCAAGGGGCTGATGATGATTTAAGACTTAGATTACTTCCTCTTTCATTGACGAACAAGACAAGTTATTGGCTATATCTATAATAGAAAATGATCTCAAAACATGGATTTGGTTAGAAAATTATTTTTACTTTCTAACCAAATAAGTACTTGAAATTTTCAGCTGTGTAGGTGATGTCACCGAATCGTTTTATAATAAATCATGCAAATTTATTATTTATAAAACTAGAAAATATTAATTTTAAAATTTATAGAAATATTTAAGTACAAATAAATCAATTTACGAAAAGGTTTTTAAAATAGTAAAAAAATAAGTT